TGTGCTTTGCCTTACCAAGAGCTCTTTCACGCTCACTGTGAGCCTGCAGTCAGTTATCATCCAGAGCGCATGAGGGAGCGGAGGCTCCCAGCAGACCTGGGGTCTTGTCCTGGTGCCTTCAGCCTGGGGCGGATAGTGATACGACTCTAAGCTCAGTGCTCTTTCCTTCATACCATCTCCATAGATCTTGGGTAGACAGGTCCTACTTTTTGTGCTTTAGGATTTCAGGGCATCACCAATGTTTACTTTCATTCTTGGGACAAAGACTACCAAGTACTTCACTCTTCTCTGATTCCACCACTTGCTCAGTGATTTTGACCATGCTGCAAGCAGCTAGAAGGCACTAGGATATGTGAGTACCTGAGACACAGGCATTAGGGATGTATTGCTCCCCCAAATTGGAGCCCTTTAGTTACCCCAGAGTGGGGAGCAGGAGCTCTGCTCTCCCCTCCCCACTGCAGAGAAAGAAAACCAATCCATCCAATGCTAGGGAACTCCAGAAAAATGCCAAGGCATGCTGAACATAGAATTCCTAGGTTCAGAGAATAAATTCAGTTGCAAAGAAAGGTGTGTGTGGAGGCCCAAAGAGCTGTCCTGGGGAGCCTTGGCCACATAGAAACAGGAAGCCAGAGACGAGTTGGAGAGTTTTACCTTCCTTGATGTAGGATCTGTTATGTCAGGATCCAAAATTTGCTCAGGGGGGGAACCTCCGTTTTCACACCAGAACACCCAGGGGGAACACCAGGTGGATACCTGATCATGGATGGGAGAAGGCTCTGGACTGAAGACAGGTGGCTTCCTGAGCAGAGGATGTCTCTGAATGCTGTTACTGAGTGATCCTGTCAGGGGGTGCTGGGGAGCAGACCACAGGAGAGTGACACTGACTCCGGAGATGTGGGGGCTACCGCATCAGTGGAGGCTAATGAAGCTGACCTCCTGAAACTGACAGGCAGTTCACACACCAAAGGGTGACCTCTGGGCCAAAGCACCCTTTCCAAACCCATGTCACTGAAATTGGAGAATCAACTCCCATTCCAGATCACCAGGTCCTTGGACTACTGGGGTTTGTCCATTGCTTTGTGGTGATGGCTTTGCTTTTCTTTTAATCAAACCTGTGTTTGCAAAGTTAGAATCCATTTATAGGACTGTCTAGTGAGGAAACTTTCCCACATCTCTGCCCATAATTTTGACTGAAGCGAACTGCCCAGGTGCACAATCTATTGGCTCCAGGGTTGTGCTATGATACATTTAACCCTCCCTGATAGATCCATGAACAGGCAGGATTAGTGTATGGGTCACCTGATAGATGGTGCAAACACCTTATATTCCCCAAGTCTCTGTGTTTGAGGCATTTTAGGAAAAGGAGAAGCATCCTGAGAACTTCTTGTGTTTGGTGTTGAGCTTCTGCCAATGATTTAATTCCCCTAGTTTTTGAATTGGATGATTAAACGGTGATTTATTGGAAAGTATAGTAGGATAGTAGAAAAACTTGTCGTCATTGCTAAGACCTCAGATATTGGTTAACTGCAAGTTCCTGGCTGGAAGGTGATAAAATAAAGGAATCTTTCAACTTCTAATGTTTGTGGATCCTGCCCCTGGGCTTCCAGGGAAGCTATACTTGAACACTTACCAAGGTGAAAGTGACTTTTCAAAACCTCAGAGTATGGGCTTTAATTCTGCTGTGAGCATACACTGTACATCTGATTTGTATAAAAAATAACAAAAAAGGAGCATTCCAAACACAAAGATAAGAAAAAGGGAAAAACCTCCCTGGTTCCCATGATTTTTAAAGTTATACAGCCTTGCATATGCTAGAAGCTTATGCTAAGGTCTGCATCTTTCTGAAATGTCCTTTGTTTAATTATTTGTAACTTTTTAAAAGTGCACCAAATGTTCCTTCAGCAGATCACCCTCTTCTTTGTGAAGATTGTGTATCCTGGGCAACTGCCCTAGCTTGAGTTCAAATAAAACTCTTTCTTTTAAATATTCTAGAAGGTTTATTCAATTTGCATCAACTGTTCTTGGATATAGCCAGCAGGATAGCAGAGCAACTCTTGTGAGATCACCTGGGGGTCCCCTGGAACACAGGCTCGGCACCGCAGGGCTCTTTGTGCCCCTCCAACTTCTTAGCACCTCGAAGGTGTATTGGGTGAGTTCTTCCCATATCTGAACCTCTTCAACTGGAGTTGATGGTCCTGACTTTTACTGGAGCTGTTGAGGGTTACCAGTAATATTCTCTAGGTGGAGATAACCTAGAGGAGTTGGGGTGGATGGGCTGGTCGTTTTGATTTGGCATTACGCTAATTGATGTTATTAATATAAAGCTTGATTGAATTTTCCAGCTAGAAACACTACAGGCTGAATCACTCAGCTTCAGGGAGAAGGGACACTTGCTCCTTCAGGCCAAACAGTGCTTTCAGGTGACTGAGAGCCTAAAGGAGCTGTCTCGGGAAACTCCTGCAGGCTTGATGCACAGCGTACACTGAGCCTCTACTTGGAAGTGGTTACTTAAATGGGACATTTTCACTAAGAATGACTGGAGTCTCAGATGGCCCAAGTGGGATTCTTTTGACATGTCTGAATTCGTTTTCTTGTGCACACAATTAGAGAAAACCAATCATAAGACTAACCAACCAGAAGCTAGGAAGCCATTTGGCTTGATCAGTAAAGCCCCCAACCTTGGGGAGGGACCAATGACCACAGAGGCACTCTGGGTTTCATTTGGCTTGTTGCTGCAGCTTTGGTATCTTTGGGCAAAACTGGCCTTGTTCTAATTGGAAAATGGAAAATGACTCATTAATGGATCCATAGATTATATGCTACCTTATGATTAATCAGATTTGTTTTATAAAAGAGAGATATTTGGAAATTGGATCTGTAATGTCCTCTCCACAAATGTTAGTGAAATAAAGACTAGATTTTGGTAGCCTCTTGTTTGTGTATATGTGTGTATATGTGTTATAAATGTGACATATTCTCTCTACCTCTGAATGGTATTGCTAAAAATTAATTTGTAAAAGAGCTCTTTTTAATTAGCTTAAAGGCAAACACTTGTAAAAACCTGCCATTCTAAAACTCAGAAAGATAAGAATAATCCAAATGTTTTTCAAGTTCATGTGATCTGGGATAATCTTTAATAAGTTAAAATTCAAGTTTTTTGGTTTAATTAAAATACGGCAGCTGGAGGGGGTGTGGGGGGATGGGGTAACTGGGTGATAGACATTAAGGAGGGCATATGATGTAATGAGTGTTATATAACACTGGGTGTTATATAAGACTGATGAAACGCTGACTTCTACCTCTGAAACCAATAATACATTATAAGTCAATTTAATTAATTAATTAATTAATCAAAATAAGTCTCCTATCCTTCCAAAAAAATTAAAAATAAAGTTAAAAAATAAACATGTCTTTAGAGTTGTCAACATTAAAAATAATGGTTGATTTTGTCAGCCTCATGAAGTATTCATGGGTTATTGTTAAAAACAAATAAGTTGAATGAATAAAAAGTTTTTTAATAAGGTAGAATACTGAAATATTAATTATTAAACATAGGTTTATTTGCTTTTGGTTCTTATTACAAAGAAACTAAAGATAAATTTGGGTCTGCTTATAAACATGCATTATGCTTTATTGAAAGTTGTACTATGAAAAAACACATTTTTAGAAATTATGAAATATATCTATAAATTGGCCAATTTAAAGAATTCTGATATAACAGACAGCTCATAGATGCTTCCTACTTAGTTTTCACCTAGAGACTGAGGTTTTTAAGAATTAAAATTCTGATAAATGTGATTGAGACTGTTGGAAGTAATATGGAAAGCAACTCTGTACATAGGAAAGTGAGAGATGTATCTTGTATAAAGAATGAGGATACATTTTTGTTGAGGAATAATGATTTTGTCCTGAAATGAGATTGATTGTTTAGAGAGGAAAGAGGACAAAGTCTTAATGGAAAAAGAAAGTCATAAAATGTTAGTGAAGGAGAATCTTTAGAAAATAATTTTATATATGGTCAAGACTAAGATAGGAATGAATGAATTTTGAAAGTGCACTAATATAAGATTGGAATTTGGTTTTCCTCCCTGTTAAAAAGACAGGGATTGGATTGTTTGTCTGCTCTTGATAAGAAATTATGAAAATTTTTTTTTTCTTTTTCTGCACAGAAAAAACAAAGATCTATGTTTTGTCTTCACCAGTTTTTTTGATTATGTAAGAAAATTAAAACTTCTCAATATTAAAAAAGCTAAATTTTGTTAACAAATATGTATGTTATATTTGCTTTTGGTATCTCTTAAGGCCACCTTTGTTAAACAGATTAATTAAAGTTTCCTTTTTTCAGATTAATTAAGTTTTAAGTTTTGTGATGATCTGTAATCCTATTTAGGCATATGCTTTTGAAACTGCTCAGCTTTTTAACAAACTTCTCCCAAATTCAAATTCTAAATGAAGTCTTTTTGACTAATTAGACTTATTTGGTATATTAATTGGTACTAACCAATTAACCAATTGGTTAGTACCAATTAACATAATTTTGGTATGTTTATTTGGTATGGTACATGGGAAGCATTGTCAAACAAATGATGGTAAACTTTTTTAAGTTATGTTGTGTGGGCAAACGCTATAACCATTGCAGAAATTACATAAAATTCCTAGTTTTAATATGTCCTGTAATAATGTCATCACTTGAAATTCTACTTATTGAAATGTTGTGTGTCACAAAAAAAAACAAATTTCCTTGTCAACTGCATTATAACAATCAGACTTTTAACCATGGCTATTTTTGAGTCGTTTGTCATTTACAGTTATTGTCCTAATGCTCTTGCAAATGTCTTCCAGCTTCAAGGAAATTCATGAAAAGGGCTTTTGATGAACACAGGTTTCTGATATCTTTAAGATCATAAGATAAAACTGGGTAAGAATCTCTAGAACTAATGGAAAAAATGCATTCAAACAGAACAAGAATGAATTACATGAGACGAACTGAATTGAAAAAGATGATTATAATTTTTATGATTCTTGTTTAAAACATTGCTCTTTCTCTAATGTTTGCCCTTCCAGATTCAAGGAAAACTTTTCTCTTAAGGTATCTGTGAGTTAATAGAAATTTGATAAAATATTCCATTGTAAGCAAATAAAAATAATTATCTTTTCTCCCTATCCAAACCCTCCAGAATTCAGAACTCAGTATTCTTTCTCTCAAGGCAATTATAGTCATTTGCATAAATCCAATGAGAATCTGTTCTCCTTGTAACAGGACACCCTTAAGAACATTGGCTGTATTACTAAAGCTTTAACTGGAATGTCATATTTGAGAGACACATGCATAGACTCAGATATGACTGGAGAACTTTAAGGAATGAAGGTTGGCTTTATGGAGTCAATAAAGCTCCTTGGAAATATTGGCCTGATACCTTGCTTATAGAGTTCCGAGGGGCCTTACCAGGTAAGTAAAGAATGTCACTTCCTGTCAGGTACAGGAACCTCAGGATATTTTGGGGACTTCAGGAAGAGAGGAATTCCCCCAAATCTATAGGTATTGTAGGTGAGTCTGATGGCAAGTATTTGGCTTGGCTTCTGGCCTTAAGAGGCTATTAAAAGTTCAGTGTGAAATTCCTTATAAAAAGTTCCAGCAGAGCAGATTTTCTGAAACCCATATGATCGATCACAATTCTTGCTATAAATAATTAGGCCAGGGGCGCCTGGGTGGCTCAGTGGGTTATAGCCTCTGCTTTTGGCTCAGGTCATGATCCCAGGGTCCTGGGATCCAGCCCCCCATCAGGCTTTCTGCTCAGCGGGGAACCTGCTTCCTCCTCTCTCTGCCTTCCTCTCTGCCTGCTTGTGATCTCTGTCTGTCAAATGAATAAAATATTTTTAAAAAATAAATAGGTCATATTTGTTAAAATGGACTTTTTTTTCCCAAATGAATTAGTTTTAATTTGGCTATCTTCAACAGAAATGAGGATGATTTTAGGGAGAAAAATTAAGTTGCAACAACACATCCTTATAGGTGTTAGATTCTAGTTCTAATTAATTGTCTTTGAATGTTTGTTGTGTGCCTATAAAACTGGGCTGGATCCTGAATTCTTCTGATTTCCTCAAATACCTGGTTATGACTCTCCAAATGAAGGTTTCCAATTTTCTCCCATTCTCTTGACTTGGAAACCCTGAGAACCAAAGATGCCCCTTTCCCTGAAGCCCTGGAAACTGAAGTTAGACAACCTGGGGCAAACTTCAGAAAAATTTCTACCATAGTTCATGTCTTGATGCTCTTCATGCCTGGTGCTCTATGGGCCCCTCAAAAGGGTGAATGATTATTTTCCTCAAATCCCTCAGATAAACCCTAGTGAATGCATTTTTCTTTTACTATTATTGTACTTGATTTGACCCTATTTTTTTAGGATTTAAAAATCTAATCTTAGAAGTGATATTCATGTCCCATTTTCTTGCATGCTGTCTTCATCAGGTGTTGTGTGTGTATTTTTGTAATGAATTGTGTTTCTTTCAAGGAGCAGGCCAGGAGAGAGACGTAGACATGCTGAAGGAGCTCCAGCTCTTCCTGTTGGGCATCCTGCTGCTTGTCTGTGTCTTCTTCTACCAGCTCAACGTCAAGTCCAGCTGCCTCTTCTCCTGCCTTCCTCCCCAGAAGTCCCAGCAGGACCTGGGAGCCCTCCTGGGCCATGGGCGTGGCATTGTGTTCATAGAGACCTCAGAGAGAATGGAGCCAACTCCACTGGTCTCTTGTGCTGTGGAGTCTGCTGCCAAGATTTACCCTGGGCAGCCTGTGGTGTTCTTCATGAAGGGTCTCTATGACACCACATGGCTACCCTCAAACTCCACTTACCCAGGCTTTTCCCTCCTCTCAGCAATAGACAATGTTTTCTTCTTCCCTTTGGATATGAAAAGGCTGTTTGAAGACACACCATTGCTTTCATGGTACATTCGCGTAAGTGTTGAGAGGCTCTTAGAAGGTCAGCGTTGGGAGGGACCGCAGAAAAGGGGTCCCATTTGCTCATTTTATGGATAGGTAAACAGAGCACAAGGACTCAGTGTCAGAGATGGGACTAGGACCCAGATCCTGGCCTTTTTTCTACAGTGTTGAATCCTGATTCAAATAAGCAGGAGAGACTTAAGTTAGGTTCATCTTGAGCCTCTTGTCTCATGCCTCCAGCCTTATTTCTTAGGAACAAGTTTTCCTTCGAGACTGTTCTTTTTTTTTTTTTTTAAGATTTTATTTATTTATTATTTGAGAGAAAGAGAATGAGAGAGAGACAGAGAGCATGAGAGGAGAGGTCAGTGGGAGCAGCAGACTCCTTGTCAAGCAGGGAGCCCGACGTGGGACTTGATGCCAGGACTCCAGGATCATGACCTGAGCTGAAGGCAGTCGCTTAACCAACTGAGCCACCCAGGTGCCCTCCTTTGTGACTATTCTGAACCAAATGAGTTTCTAGATCTTTTCTGGGGGCTATAACCACTTATTTTTAATTTATTTAAACTTATCTATGTTAAACTTTATTTTTTTTTGCATCTAAGTGGGAAACTAGGCAATATTTAATTTGAAAATGATGTGAACAGAAAATTCGTGAAGGATCAGGCAGAGTGCTGTTATATGAGATGGGGTTATATTAGGATATGACCCAAGAAATATCTTTTTTCTTGGGTCATATCTTATGACTCAAGAAAACTCCTGGAGCTCTTGAGAATTTTGTAATCTTCATCTTGATAACATAGCATAATAAGGAAATAATATTTCAATTAAACATTTCTCTCACAGAGGACCCATGATTGGATAATGCTTAAGGAAATTACAGTAGAACCACTTAATAACTTCACTATGCAGTTTTTAGCTGTGACATCGTATAAAGACTACAATGCAATACAACAGAAGAATAAATACACTTATGTTATAATGTAATTGTAATTGTTTTAGTTATATACCCCACCCCTCCGATCTATGTGGAAGAAAACAACCTGAAGAAAATAATACAATGCATGGTAATAGTAGGTGTTTTTATGTGATTCGATTAGGAGTGCATTTAGTGATGAAAATATGTTCATTTTAAAAATAAAATTATTCTAAAAACTCAAAGGTAATTTAAAAATTGACATCCAAATAACACCATTTTCTTGCCATATAAAATCCTTTCTAAGTTTAAAGCAGAGGCTAGACCAAATGGCAGCAAACATTTTCTCTGTAAAGTGCCAGACTGTAAATCCTTTAGGTTTTGCAGGCCAAGAGGCAATAGTGAAGCCACTGTGCACCTTCTTGTGTTAGTTTCCTATGGCTGCTGTGATAGATGAACACACACTGGGTGGCCTGAAACGGCAGACATTTCTTCTCTTACAGTTATGGAGGCTACAAGTCCCAAATCTGTTTCACTGGGTGGATGTCATGGTGCTGGCAGGGGCCCAGTTCCCAGGGAGGCTCTAGAGAAAAATCCTTCCTGTGGAGATCTGCATGTGTCCTTTTCCTGTGTGTGTGTGTGTGTGTGTGTGTGAGTGTGTGTGAACATTCCCTCTACATCTGTCTTTAAATGATACTTGTGATAGCATTTAGGGCTCATCAGGACAAGCCAGAATAATCTCCCCATCTTAAGATCCTTACTGTAATCCCATCTGCAAAGACCCTTTTTCCGTACACGGTGACGTTTACAGGTTCTAGACTCCAGTGCCTGAGGTCTTTGGGTGGTCATTATTCAGTCTACTGTCCTGGGGAGAGGACACCCCAGCTGCTACATACTGCCATCTGGAGGCATTTTCTGGACTACGGGACAGGCCTGTGGGGGCGGTGCCTAGTTTTACTCTTGGCCCCGTGGGACTTCTAGATCTCAGTGTGTCCATCTCTTCTCCTGAAGAGTCTGGAGCTCTCAAATTGACACCCACCAGGAGGGGATGGAACAGTTCACCACACTAAGATTACACCTGCAGCCACCAGCACACCCCAACAATTAGGCAGCTGCCAGCATGAGCCCCTGGGAGAAAGCAGGGCAGGCCATGGACCAGGGAGACAGCACCTGGCAGTAGAGGGGGCCCCTGGGAGGAACAGGCTGGCGAGGTCCCTGTCGCTCGCAGGGCAAGCCTGCTAGAGGGTGTTCCAGGAGGACTAAACAAGAACAGGCAGTGTGTTGGCCTACTTTCCCCACACCTGGGGTAGGCGAACATTAGCTAAATGGTGCTTTGCTCCTTGGACAAATAAATCTCTGCTCCAATTGTCTTGGACGATGCTACATACTATACCCCCACCCCCCACTTTTTGCCCCTCACAGACTAATCATGTACATGAGGAGATGAAAGCCTCTGCATTTCTGAACTAAAGAAACGTTAACTTGATTCAACACAGCATTTTCCAAACTGATTTGAGCATGGATGCCTCTTTTGGTAGGACATCAATGTTTTCTTGGAGCTAATGTTCCATAGGGTGTAGTTTGGGTTCCCCAAGCGGTACGTCAGTTTTACAATGTTAAGTTTTCAGAACAGGGCGGCTCTGGGACACATCTGACCACATCAACAGCCTTCCTAACTTGCCTCTGTGCTTCCGCCCTTGCCACCTCCCAAGCCCCACCCCTGTCTGTTTTCCACATAGTAGTCAGCATGACCCTTTTAAGACTAAGATCACTTGACTCCTTTCTTCCAAATCTTCCAAATAATTTCAGTCTTTACCCCAGCCTATGTGATCTGCTCTCCCTCTCCTCCCATCCCTCTCTGCCCCCACATCCTATCCCTCTCCTTCACTACTCTGCTTTGGCCACTCTATCTCCTTTCTGTTCCTGCACATAGCGAGTGAGGTCCTACCTCAGGGTCTTTGCACTTGTTGTACCTCTACCTAGAACCCTCTTCTCTGAGATATGCTTCCCTCATCAAATTCATTCAGGTTTCTACTGGAAGCCAAGATAAGATAGGGCTCCATCCTGCTCCCTTCATAGTCCCCTTATCCAGCATTTCTTCCTGCACAGTCCTTATGAACACTCAACGTATCATATATTAATTTGTTTATCATCTATCTCCACCTAGCAGAGATTTTTGTCTGTCTGTTTACTGCTATCTCCTTAGCAACTATAACAAAGCTTGGCACATAGAAAGTAGGCCCTCCATGGATATTATTCAAGGAATTAACTACTGAAAGAAGACATGCACGCATTTTAAGAGTCTTCTACCAATTTCTCAAAAAACATACATATTGATCTATTTACAGTTTCCTAGTTTATTTTTTTTTCTTTATCAGTTTTTAGCATTTTTAGGACTCAAGAAATTCTTTCTTCACAGTTTCATATTTGTGGTCAATGTACACCCTGCTGTGGGCGCCTGGGCAGCTCAGTCCTTAAGTGTCTGCTTTCAGCTCAGGTCATGATCCCAGGATCCTAGGAGGGCTCCCTGTTCAGCAGGGAGTCTGCTTCTCCTTCTCCTACCTGCTCCCCCACCCCCCCACCCCCACTTGTGTTTCCTCTCTCACTGTGTCTCTGTCAAATAAAGAGATTGTTTTAAAAAAAATTACACCCTGCTGAAAATGACTCAATGGGTTTATAGTGAAATCCCTGCTGGGTTTCTTCTTTACTATTCCATTGTTTCATTTTTTTTTTTTAAAAACAAATTCACAAAATCTTTAAAAGCTGCTAAAATCTTCCCATTGTTACTGACTGCTGCAAACTTGTCACTTGAAGGCAAATTTTTGGGTGGAACTAAGTTTGGTAAATTTGCAAAACTGGGCTTTTGTCCAGTAGATTTTTGAGAAGCTGGCTTGCTTCCTTCTCCACAGCCACCCTGGGCTGGCCTCCCGTTGGGACAGCCTGCCCTGTCCCCCTGCTGCTGGGGCTGATTTGCTCTTGTTCTTGCAGATCAATGCCAGTGTGGAGAGCAACTGGCTCCACGTCAGTTCTGATGCGTCCCGCCTGGCCATCATCTGGAAGTATGGCGGCATCTACATGGACACCGATGTCATCTCCATCAGACCCATCCCCGAGGAGAACTTTCTGGCTGCACAGTCTTCTCGGTACTCTAGTAATGGGGTGTTTGGCTTCCTCCCCCACCACCCCTTCCTGTGGGATTGCATGGAAAACTTTGTTGAACACTACAATTCAGAAATCTGGGGCAACCAGGGTCCCAGTTTGATGACGAGGATGTTGAGGCTGTGGTGCAGACTTGGAGACTTCCAGGAGGTGAGTGACCTCAGGTGTTTGAACTTGTCCTTTCTACACCCCCAAAGATTTTACCCCATATCCTATCCGGAGTGGAGGCGCTACTATGAAGTCTGGGACAAAGACCTGAGCTTCAATGACTCATACGCCCTGCATCTGTGGAACTACATGAACAAGGAAGGGAGGACTGTGGTCAGAGGAAGCAACACGCTGGTGGAGAACCTCTGCCGTAAACACTGTCCCAGGACTTACAGAGACCTGATTCAAGGCCCAGAGGGCTCGGGGACTGGGACTCTGAGTGCAGGTAACAAATAGAGGCAGCATTGGGCTGTTGCTGCTGCATCGTAGGACCGAACACTTCCTGGAGTGGAAGTTTTTGGTTCATGCCCACGTTCCCCAGGGGGTGGGGCTGACCCATGTATTAGTTAGGATCATCTCTCTCTGTAGTAGAAAATTCCCAAAGACATCAGTGTGTAAAATATAGAAGCTTCTTTCTATCTCATGTAAAAGATGTCTGAAGGCTGGTGATTCGGGGAGTGGGGGTGGGTATGGTCACTACGATCATTGGGGACCTAGGTTTCTTGCATCTTTTTGTTTATCATTTGCCATCCTTAGTGTCCCATAGCCCATGGTCTATATGGTTGCTTGATCTCCAGCCCATTATGTCTGCACTTTGGGCAGTGCAAGGTAGGAGGGAGGGAGGTGCACTTCCTATATTTTATGAAGACCTCCTACAAGTCCCTTATAACACTTCCTCTTACATCTCACTGGTCAGAGTATAGCTGCAAGAGAGGCTGAAAAATCTAAGGAGGAAGAGAAAATGGGTGTTAGGAGAGACAGCTAACAGTTTTGTTACATGTTACATTTACTTCTGTAAGATTAATTTTAGGACCTGTTAGAGAATTGACTGAGGAAAAAGAGACTTGATCTCTGGTCCTGATTTTGATATTCATTAATGCTTTCAGTCAATGAGCATTAACTGAGTCTCTTCCGTGTGCCAAGCACTGATTGAGTTGTAGAAGATAGAGCTGGATCAAGCAGACAAGGGTCTGTCTCAGTCAGTCTGGACAGCACTAGCCAAGTGTCACAGCCTGGGTGGCATATAAACAACAGAAATTGAGTTCTCACAGTTCTGGAGGCCGGTAGTCTAAAATTAGGGTGAGGATCCTCTTCAGGTGGCAGAGGGCACTTTTCTTGTTGAATCTTCATATAGTGGAAAAGGTCAAGGGGAATCTCTGGTGTCCCTTTTATAGAGGAACTGATCCCACTCATGAGGGCTTCACCCTCATGACCTAATTTCCTCCCAAAGACCCCACTCCTATCATCATCACACTGAAGGGTAGGATTTCAACATATGCATTTTGGTGGGACAGGAACTTTCAGCCCATTGTAGGTCCCTCGTACTTATTCTAATGACTGGCCACATCCCCGCTCTGATACCCTCTTGCTTTTCCCAGGGTATCTGCTGTTCCCTACCCTACCTTAATTGGCTTATAAAAACAAATTACAAATTCTAATTTTTACAAACCATTTCCCCTTTAACAGTCACATAAAAATTTACCTCCCCGCTCCAGGATGTATGAGAATCAATATTTCTTCTATAAATATTCATCAACCAAGATTTTCTAGCACTTTCCTTTTGGTAGTTGGCTTTATTGGAAAAATAGTTTCTGTTTTTTCCAAATATAAAAATATGATGAGTTTTCAAACTACATGGCCCCCCACCCCATCCCCTTTCACTGTGCTATTTCCCCCTTTGGGAATCAATGCTCTGATAGTCTTATTAAAAAATACTCACAAGTCATGTCTCTGGTCCAGCTTTATTTATTTCTGGCTACTTGCTCTGGATTCTTAGATATCTGACACCATGGTCAGCTTTTGGGGCCTGCTGCTCCCCCTCACAGCTAAACTCCTGCTGGTTTTGAGCTCTCGTGATTGTCCCCCCAGGTGAGGATTTCCAGGGCCCACCCTTTCTGAGAGGATAGTCACAGACATTGGATTTCATTTCTGCATCTGAAGAATACATGAGAAATGGTTCTCCAACTAACATTCCCAAAGGTTCTGAAGGATTTAATTAGGAATAACTTTAATATTTCTTTTTTCCTTTCATTTTCTTTCTTTTTTTTTTTTTTTTTAGAGAGATTGCGTGTGCACCCATGGGATCAGGATGGGGGAGGGGCAGAGGGCGAGGGAGAGGGAGAGAGAATCTCAAGCAGGCTCCATGCCCAGCGCAAACCCGAGATGGGGCTCAAACTCACGACCCTGAGATCATGACCTGAGCTAAAATCAAGGGTCCGGTGCTTAACTGAGCTACCCAGGCACCCCAGGAATAGTTTTAATATTTTAAAAATATCTGAGGTGTTTCATGATGGGATGAAATAGGTCAATCTGAATGTCACATTTCCTTATGTGGGGCTGTGATTTTAACAATTCATTGTGTTAATGTTGATAATTTGATGTTTATAGGGAGATTTATCTGAGAATAAAATGTCTTTAGTTAATAAAATGTCAGAAATAAATTAATAATGTATTGCTTAAGAAGTACAGTTTGTTTTGTAAGAAAGGATATGTCAAGAGGTGGAGGTGGGGGTGGGGTGGGGCAAGGGGCTAAAAGCAGTGAGTAGTAAGAAGTGTGGAGAGCAAACTGGGGTTCCAGTTGGCCCTGGATTCCTTGTGACCTCTTCTGTTAGTCTGCGGCACATGTTTATGTCATGATAGACTTTGAAAATAGGCCATGCTGGTGGTTTCTCTATATTGATTTATTTTCCAAATCCCACACTCATTCTTAGAATTTCAAACAATAAGATTGTATAGAGCAAAGAGTGAAAGTACCTCTTGTACCACTGTCAAGTTTGGTATGTCTCTCTCCCCTTTTCTCTGCATTGGTAAGAAGCTTTGGCCCCAAAACTAATGAAGTACTGTATGGTGACTAACATAACATAATAAATAAAATAAAATAAAATAAAATAAAATAAAGGAAGTGCCTCTTGCACTACTGTCAAGTTGGTATGTATCTCTCCCCTTTTCTCTGCATGTATAGCGTGCTATCAGTAAAAAACTTTGGCCACAGGCCTTCCAAGTATTTCCTACTAGCACCTTGTCCACCCTAGCTCTTCCTTCCAGCACCCCCACAGTGTAGCAAGTAAAGGGTTAAGACTGGCCCTAGGAGGCTGTCCAGTTTCCTGTGGGCTAGTGGCTAGTGGCTGTGCAAGTCTGATAGTTAAATATTTGAATATCACCCCTGAATTTCTCATATGATTATTATGTCAGTTATTTTTCACTTTAACAGTACGTATCCTTGATACCCTTTCTCATTAGCATCATTATTCTTCCCAATGGTTGCAGAATGTTTCATTGCAGGATATATATCGTAATGTATTTAGTAAGTACCCAACTGGTGGACATTTAAGTTGATTTCAATTTTAATAGTGCATGTAATGTTGTAGCAAAAGCTCCGATTCCTGCATTTTTGAGGACTTTACATTTTGATATGTGGTGCCAAATTATTTTCAAAAAAGCTCTTTGAAATTGCCTATTTTCCCATCCTTCACCAATGCCAAACATCTATTAATTTTAACCAATACAATAGTTTTAAAAATGTACTGAATTGTCACATTAATTTTGGTGAGACTTAGTGTTACACATTCTTAATAATATATATTCACTTATTCTGTGAATTGCCTAATATATTTTGTCGGCTTTTCTATTGGGTTGCTTTCTATTTCTTATTGATATGTATACTTTTTGTATACTAAGGAAACAAACATTTTTAATATTTTAGTTGCAGTTTTTTTAGTTCGTCCCAGTTTGCCATGCCTTGGGTTTGTTTCTAGACTCAGAGAGCCAGTCCTGGTTAGGCTGACAGTGCCTTTTTCATTTTGCGGAAGAGAAAATCTTTTTCCTGAGAAAGGAGATCTCTTCTTAAGGGCATCAATATCCTTTAGAGTGACTTTTTTCAGGGAATAAGCTAGAGTGTAGGCTGTGCCTAGGGAAGAGGCCCCCTGTCGGCATCAGCCAACTTGATATGTGAGAGTGCAGGCCTCTTGTTGCTAGATCCTCAGATTTTTCAAGAGAAATCAACAAACCAGTTTTTTATGTAAAATCTCCCTTTGACTCTATACCTGTCTATACATCAGCACTGTGAAAACCCAACAATATAATTTTGACCTAAAATTACCTCAGTTACCATGCATGGCCAGCATCTCAGCACTGGGAGATCTGCCTCATACACGTCACATGTCCTTCTGGAAGCTGGAGCTGCCTCTGGAGATGGTTTCTGAGCTGTGATGCCAACAGTTGACAGCAGAGAGCACTCTTATTGTGGGCTTCCTAGGTTCCAAAGTCCACCTTCAAAGGGCAGTCTGTCACACTGTCTCCTGACACATCCCTAAGTGTAGGAAGGAGACCAGCTGTGATGGCTGTGCTGAGTCAGAGAGTGGTGTCTGTCACTGGCTGAGGAAGGGGTGAGAGGCAAAGGGGCCAGATGCAAACCATAGGTACTGAGAACCCACCCTTTTCTCCTCCCATCCAATAGTTATGGCTCAGCTGCTCCTGGTGACAGTGATGTTCCCTGGCTTAGCCATTTAGGGCCAGTCTCTTTTGGCCTGTACCTTGTCATGGACTATATCCCTGTCCCCACTGGTGCTGCCAACTCTTGCGTGTGCTGTGGCAGAGGTGGTACAGCAGAGTGTGACCGCTCCCCAGTGCTAATTGACTAAAGCCTTGATTCTTTTCTCTCCTCTACTAGGTGGCAGGAACTCCTGGGGTGAAGTGTCCTCGCCAAGAGGGAGAGGAGGAACAAGGTTTCCTATCAGAGTAGATGCCTACAGACATCCCTACTTGATCTTGGTCCTGGCCACCCAGGTTTTTTTTTTTTTTTTTCCCCCCTAAAAAAATAGGGATAAAAAAAAAAATATATATATATATATACCATAAAACTTATCATTTCAATCCTTTTCAAATGCACAATTCAGTGGCATTAAGTACCTTCACATTGTTGCACAGCCAACACCACTCTTCATCTCTAGAACTTTGCCATTGAAACTCTGTACCCAATAAACAATAACTTCTTATTCGCTACACTCCTCTCACCCTGCCCCAGCCCCTGGTAACCACCATTCCATTTTCAGGAATATCTCTATGAATGTAACTATTCCAATTACCTCGTATAAGTGGAATCACAACATTTCTCCTTCTGTATCTGGCTTATTTCACCTAGCATAATATTTCCAAGGTTCATTCATATTGTGGGATGCATCAGTATTTCATTATTTTTTAAAAAAAGTTATTTATTTATTTGAAAGAGAGAGAGAGAGAGATAGAGAGCATGAGGATGGAGAAGCTGAGGGAGAGGGAGAAGCAGACTCCCCACTGAGCAGGAAGCCCTAGGTGGGGCTCCAACCCAGGACCCTGAGATCAAGACCTGAGCCAAAGGCAGCCACTTAACTGAATGAGCCATCCAGGTGCCCCCAGTATTTCACTGTTTTAAGACTGAATAATAGTTCATTGTATGTACGCAGCACATTGTGTTTATCAATTTATATGTTCATGGACACTTACGTTGTTTGCACCTTTTGGCTATGGTGAATAATGCTGTTGTGAGCACAAGTTTGTTTTGGTCCTTGTTTTCATTCTTTTGAGTATATAACCAGAAATGGAATTGCTGAATCAAATGGTAATTTTATTTTCACTTATTTAAGGAATCACCGTTCTCTTGTTCTCTTTTTCACAGCAGCTGTACCATTTTATATTCCCACCAGCAATGCAGAGGGGGTCCGATTTCTCTACATTCTTCTAACACTTGTTCCCATACACTGTTGCTTTGGCTGCCCCAAGACCCAGTGTGGCAGATTGAGACGGGAGCGGGGAGGGGGGGGGGGGGGGGGGGAGGCTTTTTAAAAAAAGTCCCAGAAATCTGGGTCTCGGTAAAGCAGTGACTGGCTAGGGATCAGGGACCAATAGCAGGAGAGAAAGAGTTCTTTGGTCCTGGGTTTCAGAGCTGGATCCACATGGCAAGCTAGAAGGTTGGGGGTTGTGGGGTTGCTTGCTTTAAGTACTAGTTCTGCAACTGCTCGTGCTTTCCAGCAGGCCAGGCTTTGTTGTTAGCGTGTGCGCGTATGCGTGTGCGTGTGTGTGTGTGTGTGTAGGTGGGAGCGCGTCCAGCTCCTTGGGTTCCACGCGGGCGCTCTCTCAGCAAGACCTGGGAGCCACTCTGTAGGATCCCGGATTTTCCCGACGGATTAAACGTGGCATTCCCCTCCCTCCAGCCTCGTAACAGACTTAAAAATAGCTTGTCCCGGGGGCGCTGGCGAGAGTCTCCACCCTCGTGCGGGGGAGGTGGGGCTGCGATCCCTGGAGCCGGCGGCATAGCAGACCCCGGGCCTCCAGCTGCTGGCGCGGAAGGGTCGGGGGCCCGCGGGTCCGGAGGTCTGCAGCACTGGGGTGGGCTGGTCCGCGCTCTCCCCGCCGGGGAGGTAGTCCAGGCTCTCGGCTCCGGGGGGTGCATCCCCGGCCCGCGTGGCGCAGGCGGTTCCGGGAACTGCCTCCGGGCGGTGGGGGCGGTGGAGCGAGCCGGGAGGCGGGGCCGGGGCCACGCTGGGTAGCCCGCGCCTCTGGACCGCTGCCGGCTCCGGCTGCACCCAGGTGAGCAGGGCCGCGTGGGAAAACTATGGCAGGAATTCGGCCCGGGGAGGGCTGCGGGTGCGGAGCGCCCTTGCAGTCCTCGCGGTGTGTGCGCCGAGTCGCGGGAGGTTAAACAATAGCGGCTCAGACGCCCTCTCGGGGTCCAGCCCGGGAGCTGCGGGAGCGGCACTGCCGAGCTGCCTCTAGACCGCCGGGCTCTGCCCCTCACCTCCAGCTCCGTTGGCCTGCTCTGGACCGAGGTACCTTCCCCCTAACCCCGCCCCGAGGGAACCAGGAGTGACTGCATCCCCCAGGACTGGGCTTCTCTGGGTGGACAGACAGACTTGGATGCTTACTTTTTGAAAAAAGTAAATATGGTTTGGAGGACTTGATGCTTTGGGTTCTGCACGTAAAAGGCGATCTTTCCATAATGAGATGATTTAAAAACAAACACATAGGCATCTCTGGTTTGTCCCTCTTGCACTCTGGGGCTGGAGTTTAGCAAGAGGCAGCAATGGTATTTCCTTTTGAGGTGGTTACAGATAAAAGTCCAGGGGAGACTTCCTTTGTTTGGAACGAGGGTCTAGAAGGGGGTCTGGAGGACTTGGGCAGGGCTACTCTTCATCCAGCGCTCCTTAGGGCCCAGGGCTTTCCTGCCCCTTGGTTGTCTAGGGGAATTTGAGTTCTAAAAGGACTTTGAAGAGAGGCCTGGTGAGTGTGAGGTGCTTTGACTGTGGCCTCTCACACTTAACTCAGCAGACCGGGCGGGTGGTCTACCGCCTCTGTCAGGGAGGTCTCTCATCACCTTCTCCTGGCCCGCAGAGCTGAGGACTAGCCAGTGAGAACTACTCCTTTTAGAGAAGGCCGGTCCTCCAGTCAAGTGGTTGATAAGCAGTCTTTTTTTTTCTCTCTCTCTCTGTCAGCACCAAGAGTCTAGAGACATCTTCCTCATGTGGAAATAGTTTTGGATACCATCCAGCTTAATAAAATGGTCCCATGAAGTTATATGCTTTAGGTTGGGAACAGAAACCTGAATTCCTTTGTGGATTTTAACTGGGTTCTGCCACAAAGCTGGAGCTGGGTTAAAGGGTTGTGGCTCAATGGACACTGCTGGGAGCAGGAAAGGGGACAACATGGTGGTGAACCTTCTTGTGGGCCCTTTTCAGAGAGGGCCGGTCCTGGTTGCCAGGGGGGTTAAGTACCTGCAATGCCAGCTGCTGCTAGGCCATGCACCCCTAGGGAGGAATTTGTGGGGGTCTGATGACTGAAAATAACATCTGCCAAGGCGCAATGACTCCTCTTGGGAAAGAAAACACCGTTATATTCTAAACCCATATTCTTTTAGATGTGAAAAGCAGTGCTGATTTTTGACAATTCTGCACCTGGGAAGACAGGTCATGTCAGTTTGTAATCTTCCCCTCCAAAATATTCTTAAGCAATGCCAGTCAAAATCCTAGCCCTGATTTTTATTTTAAGGAAAATTCTTTTGTGACAAAAACTTAAGAGATGTTTTTTACAAACCTGCTGGTCGTGTCTTTTAAAAATACCTACTTAGAAGGAGATCCAGGGCTTCAGTTCTGGAGTGAGTAAGTCACAGGACGAAAAAGCAGAGCATAAGGAATACAGTTAGTGATGCTGTAGAAGTGATGTAAGGGGACAGATGGTGGTTACACTTGTGGTGAACATAGCATAAAGTATTAACTTGTCAAATCACTAAAGTTGTACATCTGAAAGTAGCACAACATTGTGTGTCAACCGTATTCAAAAAAATAAATAAAACTACCTCCTTAAAGTTACCGGGAATGCAAGCCAGCTGTAGGGGAGAGCTGTGTGCCACTCGGTGGTTCGGGCAGTGGGTGCAGCCCCTGGGAAGGGCAACAAAGAGTGAAAAGTGTACATCTTTCTTTAGAAAACAGCAGAGGCAGAGAGTAAGTCGAAGATCTGTAACGATAGTCTTTCAGGAGAGCGCCTGAGTCACTCTCCTCTCTTTTGGGATCCCTTGCCTATGGTGTGTGCATGGCCTGTTTGCAAACTGTGTGAAGGTTTCCTTGGCAGCCACGACAATTAGCAGCGCTAATGACAAGCCTGGGCTCCCCAGGGTAGGTGCTGCTGAGGGTAGCTCGGGGAGTGAGGGCAGGCTTGTCAATGATTGCCTGGCAACTGCCTTGGTAGCTTGGCTCTCCTAATATCTCCTCTTGGCTGCATTCTTGAGGAAGCAGAAGAGACAGCAAGGTGGCAGCTGCAGTGGTAGAGTCTAGCTGTCCATTGATATTAAAAAAAAAAATCAGAATTTAAAAAGATCAGTTGTCTGGTTGAATTTTGAGCAAGTTCTCTTTGGTGGGTTATAGCTGGGCAGGTTTCAGAAGAACCATAAATCCTCCAGAAGCTGTTTCACCGTGGGATGGCTGCCTTGTGAGGTGGTGATCACCCCATCATTGGGGGGTGCAAAGCAAGGGTGGTAGATGGGCTTTTTCTCTTGGCTGTGGGATTGCCCCAGGTAGACACCATCCGTTCAACAATGAAGCAAATTTAGAATGCTAGCATAAATAATAGTTCCTTTGGGTCCTACGAATTCATGACATTGGTATAGGATTGGGAAGCTTCCTGGGACCCCACCAAAACATGCAGAGATGGTTAACACAGCTTTGGATTTCCTAATGATAGCAAGTCATTTCTGCCTTGTGTTTCTACTCCCAGGTGTGGGGAAGACAGTCCGCTGATGCCTGGAGAAAGCACAGTGTGACTGCCCTTTGGGGTGTGTGGTTTCCAGGTAACCTGTTGCACTCTCTTTGGGCTTTGTCTCCTGCCATCCTAACCTGGATGCCGGCTGCGCAGTTGAGTCCCGTTCAGCTAAACTCCGTGGAGATACAGAAAGGATTTCAGGTCCCCAGCACTGATCCTGTTGTGATTTGCCATCAAGTTTCAGTTCCTGCAGTTTGGTCAAGAAATCTGAGGTACTGTCATTTCCATGGTGGGAAGTAATTTCTGTGTCATTATCGTCATTGTTGGGAGGTAGCTGGGCATAATTCCAAAGCTCTGGAGTCAGACAGACCCTGATTTGAATCTTGGCTTCATTATCTCATTGCTGAGTGACCTGGGTCCAGTCCCTCAGCTCTCCTGAGCCTCAGTTTCTATGTTGGTCAGATGAGGCAAATCATAGCTACATCCAAGGTTGTATGATGGCTAGAAATAGTACTTTTAAAGGCTGGCATGGTGCCTGATACACAGAAACTTAATCAGTGATGGCTGCTATCATAATCTTCAAATTCCCCCAGTTCTTGCTCACCTTTGGAAGGCAGAGCCCTAAGACTTCTGAGAACCTGGGGGTTCTAGTGGGAGACAGGAGTGACACTTCTGCGGTTCAGTAAGATCACATGAACTCAGGTCCCTAATTCAGAATTCTGTATAACTGGGAGTGGGGTGCCATCCTCAGTGTTTACAGAGTGTGGTCAGGGTGTAAACATGAGGGTTTCAGGCCTGCAGCCATATCTGGATAGTCAATGTGGGCCCTGGGGCTTCTCGCTGAGGATCCTGACCCCACCCATAAGGGCTCCCATTCTCTAGGCTTTCATTAGCGGCCAGTGGGATCAGGTTGTGGACACATATTGTAACAAATCCAGCATTTTGGTAAGTCTGAATGGCATTTCTCTCCTGTGGGTCCAAATTAAGGACTCCCAACTCTGTTCTTCCTCTTTATCCTAATTCTTGCTGGTTCATAGGCTCATTTCTCCAAATACCCAAGAATATAGGATTTTGAGGCAGATATTCTAAGATTTTGATAATTCTGCCCAGGTCAATAGCAATCTGGGCTGCAAGTCTTATTTTTGGGGTTGGAATACAACAGATATGAATAAGCCATGGTCTCAGCCCTTGCAGAACTTATAGCTGGGGACTTGGAGGAGAAAGGAGACAGGAATGTCCTGCCATGGGCTCTCTTTGGTACACCCACTGCACCCTGTCCCAGCTCCTACCCCAGCACATACCATTCTGTATGGTCAATCCTGTCTGTTTTTCTGTCTTTCTGGAGAAGTCTAGCGCCAGACACCATCATTTACTACTAGTTGTATGATTGTGGGATGTTGTCTGCCCTCTTGCTTCATCTCTAAATTTCTTCATCTGTACACTAGGTGGTAGGGAGAACTAAGTGGGATAGTGCATGGAAGACCTTATAATTGTGTGTGCAGAACTGGTAACTAGTTTTTTTTTAAAGATTTTATTTATTTGACAGAGAGCACAAGCAGGCAGAGAGAGAAAGGATAGCAGGCTACCTGCTAAGCAGAGAGCCCGATGCGGGGCTCGATCACAGGACCCTGAGACCATGACCTGAGCTGAAGGCAGAGGCTTAAACCACTGAGCCACCCAGGCAACCCTTGGTAACTAGTTTTATTAATGATGGCAGGGACTATTGCCTAGGTCACCACTAATTCTGAGTGTCAGTTGTGGTGCCTGGCACTTGGAAGGGGCTCAGGAGTCATTTGCTGATGGGATGAATAAGTGAATGTTGCACAGAAACACTAGTATAGACCAGAATGTGGTAAGGCATCCAGAGGAGAGTATACCCTGGGCTCCAAGAGTCCCAGGGAGGGGCAGGACATTTTGACTCTGGGCCTGGGGAGGGATTTATGGTGGCTGTCAGGTGTGAGCAAGGCCTTGAAGCAGGCACTCATTCACCTGCAGCAGAAGCAGGGGGAGGTGGTAGAGGTCCATCTGTACTGTGGTGGCATAGTGGCTAAAAGCTCAGACTCTGAAAGCAGGCTGCATGGGTTTGGATCTTGCCTCCTGCATCTGGGAAAAACTTTTTTACTTCTTTGCAGTTTGGATAATATGAGGACCTCCTTGAGGGATTGTTCTGAAGATTACATGAGTTATTCTTCACGAAGCTCTTAAAAACAGTGCCCATAAATAGATAGCCTGGAGATAGGAATGTGTGGACAGCAAGTAATATTGTAAGTGAGAGATGCAGCTAGAAAGGTAGTTTGGAAACAGTTCATAAAGGTGTTTGAATATCTTTTTAGTGAATTTGGGATTAGCCAATGAAGAACGCAGAAAATCCATTCTCCTGTGGCTGAAGCCCAGGGGTGGCTGCCCTTTCCTTTGTTTTGTTTGTTTTTGTTTTTTGAGACTTACTTATTTATTTTAGAGACGGGGGTGGGGGGTGGGGGGTGAGGGGTGGAGCAAGTGACTGCACGCAAATTGGGGGAGGGGCAGAGGGAGAGAATCTCAAGCAGGCTTCCTGCTGAGCACAGAGCTAACCCAGGGCTCCATTCCAGGACCCATGAGATCATGACCTGAGCCCAAACCAAGAGTCAATTGCTCAACCAGCTGTGCCTCCCAGGTGCCCCAAGGTGGCTGCCCCTTCTAAACGGGGTATGCACTCCCCAATTTGCCACAATCCTCAACATTCCCTCCCACCATGGCTCTGCATCAATAAATCCCGAGATTCGCATTTCTAACAAGTTCCCAGCAGATGCTGATGCTCTGTTGCTGCTGGTCAAGGACCACACTTTGAGAACTGCTGCCTAGTTGGATCCTGGACACTAAGGTAGGGAATCAGTTGCCTTTTATCCTCAAGCTTGTACTGTGGGTTTTTTTTTTATACCTGGCACATTCCTGCATTTAATGCTACTTCCTGGACCTGGGGGAATTTGGATTTGCAATCTCTTTTTTTTTTTAAAGATTTTATTTATTTATCTGACAGACAGAGATCACAAGTAGGCAGAGAGGCAGGCAGAGAGAGAGGGGGAAGCAGGCTCCCTGCTGAGCAGAGACCCTGATGCGGGGCTTGATCCCAGGACCCTGGGATCATGACCTGAGCCGAAGGCAGAGGCTTTAACCCACTGAGCCAACCAGGTGCCCCATTTTTTTAAAAAGATTTTATTTATGCAATTTCTGATATAATCAGTACTGGAAGGCTGGATCTAAAGGTCCCAAGAGAGAAATGGGCCAGAAAAAAGAGATCTGGGAGTGGCTGAGGATCATCCTAAAGCAGGCCTTTGGTTGCTGAAGCTGTGGGTATGTGTGAACTCATCGTCAGGGAGAGTGCGCAGGGAGAGATGGGTCGTGAGTGAACAGCAGAATATCACGGGAGCACCGCGCATGCCCCATCCCCTCTGCCTTCTCCCCTTTCCCCCACCTTATTAAAAGAAGGGTAAAAGGATAGTAATTGTTCATGGAAGAGGCTGGAAGGAACATTCAAAAAGGTGGGAGTTGCCTTTGCCAATGGAGCATTCTTAGCCTTACTCTTAGAGAGAGGACTGTGGGCACAAGTTGAGGCCAAAGCTTAAATAGTTAAACAGTGAGTTGTAGGTGAGCTCCCTGCCTGGGGGAGGACAGGAAGCAGGTGTCCTGTTACCCTTGCCCACAGCATGCCTGGTAACCTGCTGTTGCTCCAAGGCATAGCTTGTTGTGACAATTGTCTCTGAGGCTCCAGGGACACAGTTGCGGCTTGGAGCTCAGAATGGTAAGTAGCAGGACTCTAGTCTCTCTCTCTCTCTCTCTCTTTTTTTTTTTTTTTGGTTTGTTTGTTTAAATAACAGAACACATTAAGTAGAAATGGACTGATCTTGTCATGGCCGTGATGGGGGTGCAGATGGCTGGATGGTTTTGGTTTTGGAGTCTGGTTGGGGGAAGAGTAGATAAGAAAGGAAGTGTGGGAGCGGCAATGGAAAAGGTGGGCCATTGGCAGCCTGCGGGCAGTCTTCAAGGCTGGGCTAAGCGGTTTGGACATGGTGCGGTGGTAACAAGGGGCCATGCTGAGCGCCTGGGTGCAGGACGGTATGTGGTTCCTGTACCTTGGCAGCCCCAATGCCTGGCACGGGGTCTGGCCTGAGTAGACATGCTGTAAATGAAGGGGGCAGTGGGTGAATGAATGAATGAGTTTGAGGGATAAGCCATCATGATCTGATCAAAGCCAAATTTAAGGACAGAGAGTCTCAAGAATCAGTGTTCAGAGTCCATAAGCTTTAGGGCCAGATGCACCTCCAACTGTGCTTCAACTCTGGCCTCCCAATCTGGGGCAAGACTCTTAGCCCCTCCAGAAATCCGTTTCCTTGTTTGTAGAATGGGAATTGTGACAGCTGCTTGGAGGTTTCAATGTAGAATTTGTGTCCGGCAGAAGCTGGCACTTGCTGCACCGAGGCCCGCAGGGTGCAGGCATGTGGGGCAGAACCCTCACTGTCCTTCTCAGGTGAAGGCTCAGGGGTGTCAGGGACCTTCCCTGGAGGCCCCCCCCTTTACAAACCCACAAGGCCTTTCCCCTTCATGAGATCAGTGACCTCTCTCCTCTGACTTTCTCTTGTATTTAAAAGTTTGAATCACATGATCTGGAAAGAACTTGATTAAATAAGTTCATCTGTCCTTATTGTTCCCCGGTCAGATTTGAAGTTCAAGGGCAGAAATTGTATTATTTCTATGAAAATTATTAAAGTAATAGATGATGATGTAAAGATATACTGGATAGTATAGGAAGGGGGAAAGTGGAAAACCGAAATCTTCCGACTTCCTTTCCCCTCCCAGAGGCAACCATTACTAACAGCTTGTTCGTTTTTGTAGAAATACCATAGTCTGTGGTAACGAAATGATAGACAATGAAGCACATATAGGAACCGTAAATCAGTGTATTCTATTTTGCTATTATTACATATGAGCAACAAATATGAATCATTCATACATGTGTATATGTATATATGTTATATACATGTATCATTATCATCATCGCTCTGTGTAAGGCTTGTCTGTTTACCCACCTCCTACCCATGCACCATCCATGTATTCATTTATTTATCCCCGTTTCACCCCTCATTTCCCTCCTTCCTCATAGGCAATAATGTGAGTTATATCTATAGATCTATAGCTATTGACATATACTGAAAGCTATAGATAGATACATATGTGAGATATATATATCTTTATTTTTGCAAATTATTATTTGATGTGATTATGTTATTTAAACAGGTGTGGAAATACATATGTATATATATGTGTATATTTACGTGTGTGTATACTTGTATTTATGTATATGTATACATAGATACACAGTCATTACTCTGTTTCAGTGTGTGAATAGTTGTTGCCTTATTCTTATCAATAGCTGCATAGTATTTCGTTGTATAGAGTTACCATTTGTATCCCCTGTTGTACTTCGTACTTCACTTTCTTGTATTTTTTCTTGTACTTTGCTGTTACAAACAATACTACATGACCCTTTTGTACAAGCGACTTTGCACACTTGTATATGTTTATCTGTAGGATAAATTAGAATTCTTTGTTGTGAAATGTTCATTTTAAAATCTTATTGCTACTGTCAAATTACTTTTTAAAGAGAGAGAACAATTTCTGTGTCTCCCAAGAGAGTGGAGAGGAGTCTGAGAACAAACTGGACCTCTTTTCTAAATCAGTAGGTTTGAAAGGAAGACCGTCGTGGATGGAGTAGAGTCTGTGCGGAGACATGGCTACTCTGTTAAGCCTCCTCCGACCGTGGTGGCCATCATCTTACTCACATCCCCCCAGTGGGACCATAGTCCTGTGATCACACTTTACAGTTGGGGCACACTTTATAGAATGTAGCCCGTTCCTGGTCGGCTGTAGTCTTGTAATGACGGGAGGACAGGATGGAGTGTGGTGGTTGTTAGGAGGCTTTGCCTCCCACGGGCAAGTTACTGGAACTTATCCTGAGGTCAGTATAGGGTTGCAGAAAGACCACTTAGACATTTGACCCCTCCCTCTGACAAACACCTCTGGCAGGGACACACACATAGCAGTGGGGGGGAGTCACTTGCTGCATTCCTAGGAATGAGGTCCTAGGAGGACCTCCTATGTTTCAGGTATTAGGCTGGGTGCTTCACTTGCCTTATTCCTAACCACAAGCCTGAAGAGTAGACTCCAGGATCCCCAATATACACAGAACGTTTAAGGATGTGAAGGAACTTGCCCAAGGCTTCGATCTGAATCCCCATTCCTGTGATTACAGAGCCCACACCATTGGCTCCCTCAGCTCTCACCCAGTCAGTGCATCCCATGGGTACTATGGCTGCTATCCAGCTCCCTCCCTTTGCCCCACTTAGGCTCCCGCTGGCCAGGTGTACAGTACCTGCAGCCAGATGCATCTCACCAAACTCGGAAACCCTCCTTATTTTCCAGGCCCTCTCTCAGCTCCTGTGCCTGCTGCCGTGGCCTTGGTGGCACCCTCCCTCGGTGGGCAGCCCAGGGCTTCCTCAGCCCATGCAGTCCCCGGCTACCCCTGCTGAAGGCCTCAGTGGCTCCCTCTTTGGGGCCTACCCCCTGCCTACCTTCAAGTTCCAGCCTCGCTCTGAGAGCGTGGACTGGAGGCGCATTAGCGCCCTGGATGTGGACCGTGTGGCGCGGGAGCTGGACGTGGCTGCCCTGCAGGAGAACATCACCGGGGTGACCTTCTGCAATTTGGACCGGGAGGCATGCAGCCGCTGTGGGCATCCTGTGGACCCGGTGCTGCTCAAGGTGCTGCGCTTGGCCCAGCTCATCATCGAGTACCTGCTGCACTGCCAGGATTGCTTGAGCACTAGTGTCGCCCAGCTGGAGGCCCGGCTGCAGGCCAGCCTGGGCCAGCAGCAGCGTGGCCAGCAGGAGTTGGGGCGCCAGGCTGACGAGCTCAGGGGTGTGAGAGAGGAGAGCCGACGGCGTCGCAAGATGATTGGCACCTTGCAGCAGCTGCTCCTGCAGACGGGGGCCCACAGCTACCACGCGGTGAGGACTCTCTGCAGGGTCGGGGAGGGGGAGGGCTGTGGGCTCAGTCACCACCTGGCCACCTGGGCACCAGCACCCTGGGTCCCAGGATTGCTGTGGGCCCTGTTTTCTGGGGTGAGGAGCAGACGTTAGAGATGTCTCATCAAGTTCTCCAGCATGTGTGTGTGTGTTGGGGGGCAAGTGTGTATCTGAAGGATGTGTGTGCATACGTGTATAATATATGTGTGTGTTTGTGGAGAGGGTGCCTGTCTAGGGCATGCAGGTGTGAATGTAGAGGTTGTGCATGTTTAAGGACAGTGTGAATATGTGTGTCTACCATGTGAATGTTTGGATATGTGTATGTATGTATGTAGAGTGTGTGGTGTCTAACGTATGTTTGTGTGTGAAGTATGCATCTAAAGATATATTTATAGTTCGTGTGTGTGTGTGTATGAATGAATGAATGAAGGATATATATGTGTGTAAAGGTGTGTGTATTTATGGAGGGTGTGAGTGTGTGTGTTTGAAAGGTTTGTGTGTGTATGTAGCAGTGTGATATAAAAAGGCGTGTGTGTGCGTGTGTGTGTGTGTGTGTGTGTGTGTGTAGAATCAGTCTGTAGTAAGAGACTGGTACTGTGGTTCCGCCAGGCCCATTCCCGAAAGTGACTCCATCATTCAACCTAGTGACATTTCATTACCTGGAGTGGCATATGAACATTTGCATCTGCATGAAGTGTGGCCTGGGGACATTGCACTTTCATGAATTGCCGTGGGGGCCTGGCCATGGACCAGGCTCTCAGGAGGCAGGCACAAGTCATCTGGCTCAGGTGTTCAAGAAATTCATAGTCTGGGGGTGGGTGAGACAGAAGGAATAATATGATACAATGTTAATTATTATAAAAATGTCAGAATCCTTTCAGTAGTAAATGCCAGAACAGCAGTTTAACTTGGCTTAGGCCAATAAAGAATTTATTGGTTACTTTAACTGAAAAATCCAGAGCTCTGGTGGGACTCACATGTGGCTTGTCCTTGGAATCAGATGATGGCACTAGAAATTAGTTTGTTTTTCTGTAGCTGTTGGCAACTCTTCTTTAGTGTGGGTTCCATTCTCAGAAAGAGTCTGTCTGTGTGGTAGGAAGTTGGGCCACCAGTGCCAGTATCTCATTTTCCCAGGTTCAAGGCTGGCATGATAGAAGGCCCACTTTGGTCCCAGAGACCTGGGCCATTTTTCACTGTGTCCTGTATTTGGCTGTTTTTGATCTCCTACCCATCTGGGAGCCACTCACAGGTCCCTGGGAATTCAGGATTGCGACTGGCTTTGGTCTAGGTCCCATGTCTCACCTTGGAGCTGGGGATGGACAGAAGCCTGTGGATGGAGAGTGAGGAGCAGGGTAATTCCCCTGAAGAAAACTGGGAGTTCTGTTGTCAGAGGAAGAAGGAGCTGCTACTGTACGGTCCTAACTCCCTTAATGATACTTTCTAGAAGTTGCATTTATCACTTCTGCTTACATGTCATTGGCCAGAATTTAGTCACATGGCAAGGGAGGTTGGAACATAAAGTGTTTATTCTCATTAACCTTATGACCAGCTAAAAATAAGGGTTTCTATTACTGAGGAAAGAGGGAAAATGGGTCTTGGGGGACAACTGGCAATTTCTGTCACATTTGTGTAAAGATCGCAAATAATCTGTCCTCTTAGTCTGCTTGAGTAGGATTGGCAACCTGCAATTTTGTTGTGTTGGAGAAAGTTTGAAATTTTACAGTGAAAAGATGATATGATAGATTGGCAGTGTCTGAAATGCTTGAGGAGAGTGAAGTGGAATTAGAGATACTATTATTTTCTATCCTCTGCTCTGGTTGTTCTCAACCCCAGGGGTGGGACCTGGGCATTGGCTTTCTTTTTTTTTTTTTTTCCTTTGTAGTGTGAAAATTTTTAAATGTGCACAAAAGAGAGAGTAGTGTAATGAACCTTTATCTGTACATTACCCAGCCCAATCATTATCAACTATCGATATTTTTGCGTGTGTTCCCCTACCCACTTGCCCCACCCCTGTGTCACTTTGAAGTGTGTTAAGTGTATGGTGTTATCTATACCTATTTCACTATGTATCTCTAAAAGGCAAGGACTCTTGCTTTTAAATATAAACACAAGAGCATCATCATGCCTTGAAAAAACCAACAAAAATTCCTTGGTGTCCTCAAATACCTAGTCAGTGCTCACCAGTCCCCAGGGCACCATAGCGTTCAGATCAAATCTTCATTTCTGAAGCAGCCCTGGAAGCCCACGGAAATGGGAATTTTGATATTGGGAGGACACCAGGTTGAGCCAGGTGATGTAATCCTGGCTTACCACCATTTCCCTTCTGTGCAGTGCCACCTGTGTGACAAGACGTTCATGAATGCCACCTTCCTCCGGGGCCACATCCAACGCAGGCACACGGGCACAGCGGAAGGCGGTGAGTCCAGGAGGCCTTCCTGGGACGGTCGAAGAGTCTGGGCTGGTCTGCAGTGGGTGTGGGGCATGTAGACCATCACAGCTGTCCTCAGACCTCATCATCCAGTAAAGAAGGGGATGATCTCACCATCTACCATGGGGTGGTGGGGCATCCATCCCATGTGGGCCTGGGAGGGTTTCTGACCATGTGTGTAGAGAAGAAGGGAGTAAGATAGGTAAGTTCTGGTGTTAGCTCTATTCCTTTCTATGATGTGACCACAGTCAATGCACCTCCTCAGAGTCTCAGTGGCTTTTGCTGTGAATGGGGCAGTCAAATGGCATGACTCTGAAGGGTCCTCACCTTCCAATCTCCTATGAATCTGCTATTTTCTGATGCTAACTAGGAAGGGGTTTAAATGGGGTTAATGAGCAGTTAGACCAGGTTTTTGACATTTTGTATGTACATGAGCTAATTATGACTTAATCACTTTGATTTTACCATTTCAAATTCCAAAACAAGTAGGGAGACTGTATGTTCCCCCATAAAGAGATTTACATACTTTATATTTGTGGTTCATAAGAAATAACTGTTAACACATAAAATAAATATAAATATGAAAATATAAATCATATAAATATAAAAATCCCATTGAATAAAACATTTTTCTTATTTTTTTCATTTTAATTTCCTTTTCAAAGAGCAGACTTAGAGTTTTAAAACAGCACCATTTACCTAATTGTTATGCATTTATTATATATCTCATTCTTCTTGATTCTGTATTGGAGACTGCTAAAGAAAAACAGATTTTCTACTTCCCAAATGAATTTTTCTGATAAAAAGACATGTCTTTGAAGAGATATTTGTATACCGATGTTCATAGCAGCATTATTCACAGTGGCTAAGATGTGGGAGCATCCAAATGTCCATAGACAGATGAATAGGTAAACAAAATGTGATGTATACATGCAAGGGAATATGATTCAGCCTTAAAAAGGAAATTATGTGACATGTTACAACATGAGTGAACCTTGAGGATATTATGGTAAGTGAAGTCAGTCAGTCTCAAAAGGACAGATTCTGTGTGATTCCACTGATATGAGGTACCTAGAGTCATCAAATTTATAGAAACAGAAAGTAAAGTGATGGTTGTGGGGGGCGGGGGAGGGGGTCCATGGGAGTTATTTAAAGCATATAGAGTTTTTGTTTTACAAGAATGAAAAGACTTATGGAAGTGGATGGTGGTGATGGTTGCACAGCATTATGAATTATGAATGCATTTAACACCATTGAACTGTACATTTAAAAAGGGATAAATGCTAAATTTTATAGTATGTATATTTTACCACAATAAAAAGCTGGAAAAAATGTCTTTGACCTGGAAAATTATTTAAAATTTAATTTATCTTTTTAAAATGTTTGTTAATTTTTAAAAGGATTTATTTATTTATTTATATGCTAGAGAGAGAGAGAGAGAGAGAGAGCACACAAGCGGGGGGAGCAGAGGCAGAGGGAGAAGAAGGCTCTCCACTGAGCAAGGAGCCTGATGTGGATCTCAATCCCAGGACTCTGGGATCATGACCTGAGCTGAAGGCAGACGCTTAATTGGCTGAGCTACCCAGGTGTCCCTTGACCTGGAAAATTTAAATACAGAAGGGTAGAAAAGAGAAAATAAAAACCATGGACAGTATCAGCTAGTTAATATTTTGGTTTGTTCTATGTCATTATTTTTCTGTGTACGTATATAATCCTATACTATGCAGTTTTAACTGTTGCTTATCTTCTATTAAGAATATATTACATTTTCAATGTCATTTACTCATCTTGGAAAATATGCTTTTTAATGGCTGAATAGTATCCCATCCTCTGACTATCCTAATTTATTTCACAATTAAATTACTTTGTACTTTATATGGGTTACTCATAAATTTCCCTCCTGGAAATCATATGATGATCAACATTCCTCTATGTAAATCTTTGTGCATATTCCTTGTTATTTTCTTAAGGGTAAGTGCTGAAGGAGAGGGAAAATATGTTCTTAAGGCAACTTTTGCTAAATTAATGTTCATGATCTTTTTATTCTCAGGCAGCTGGCTTTTCATATACCCCTGTTCTCCTTTTTCATACTCTCTCAAATCACTTTGTTAACCCAAATTAATTTCCACTACATCTAAAAATTGCTTGTTTCCAAAAAGTCCAGTCTGAGGAAAACCGTATCTCATTTCAGAGACAGGCTTAGAGTTTTAATAATGATGCCACCTATCTAATAGGAACTAAAGGTACTTTGAAAAGTAACAAATGTTCAAGTACAATTGGTGTCTTTTTCATTAACCTGTAACTCTTGGTTTATAAGTATGTGGTTTAGTTAGAATGTTCTCTTACAATTCATTCTTTTTTATTAATCTTAGAAAAGTTAAAGCATCCATGCACTTAAAGCAACCTTGGCTGAAATTTTCCTTCATAATACATGCTTTTTTTTTTTTTTTTCATTTGAAACTTAATACCTTGCTGTGTTGCTGAACAAAGTGAACTTCAAACTACAATTATCTTCACTATGTTCAACTCCTCTCTGATGGCTGTCGGGACCCATTGATATGTTCTTTGTATCAGTAATGACTGTGCATGTGCTATTTCGTATTCTGCTTCTGTTACTCTACTGATCTCGCGTTTACATCTGCATGAGTCAGGACTGCCCAAATAGTTATCTTCAATGACAATCATAGTTCACGTTAATGGAGCTGTCAGGCCAGGCAGTATGCTAAGCACTTTGCACTATCACGTTTCATCCTCACAACAACCCATCTGAGCTGGGTGCTGTTATCCCCATTTTCCAACTTGGGGAAACTGAGGGTCGGGGAGGTTAAGTCACTTGCCCCTGGTCAATGTCCAATGGAAGTGGCAGAGCTGGTCTCAGCCTGAGGTGTGGCTGATTGCGTAGGCGAGGAACGGTGCTCCACTCACTTTTTCACTTAAACTGGCCACCCTTTTTTTTCATGGACCCCACAGAGAAGCAGAAGAAACAGGAACAGCCAGTGGAGGAGGTGTTGGAAGAGCTGCGGGCCAAGCTAAAATGGACCCAAGGGGAGCTGGAAGCGCAGAGGGAGGCGGAGAGGCAGCGGCAGCTGCAGGTGGTCTCGGAGAGGAGGCACTGGGGAGAGCCGCTTGTGGACTACCCAGGAGACCCATGGGGCACCTGTCTCCCACAGGACCAGAAGTCTGGCTGGTTTTCTGCTGCTGAGAGTCAGAGCCAGGGTGGCATCTTCCTGAGTGTGGCAAATGATCTTGGGTTGTCTGGGAAGGAAAACTCAATTATTTTTCCAGATCTGTATGACCAAAAGTAAAGCGGAGAATTTCACTTTCCTGCCTTTTCCGGCACCCTGTGAGGGCATTTGGACCAGAATGTTAGCTTCTTACTTCACCTGCCTGGTTCGCTTTTTTGAGAACAAAGACTGGATAAACTCCAAAGTCCAGTCTCAGGGATGCACTTAGTAGATAACTGTAGAATGAAAATATGTAAACTTGCCTCACCCCTTCCTTCATGTAGTCATTCTTCATTCATTTCCTCATTTTATCATTCCTCATTTATCTAGCGTCAACTATGCCTCGAACAAAGAGAGAGAAAAGACAGGGTCCCTATCCTCAAGAGACTTTACAGTTCAGATAAGACTTGTCCCGCTCCATGACCAAACGATGGGGACTGTGGTAATGAATGTTCTTTGGGTCTCCATAGTGACTTGCCCAGACAAGGAGCCCTAGCATTTTCTCAATCAATATTTGCCATAATGTGGAATTAATGAGTCTATTGTTCTTGCTTTTCTTCCAGGAAGCAGAGATCACCCGTCAGAAGGAAATAGAAGCTAAGAAAGAATTTGATGAATGGAAAGAAAAAGAGCGGGTCAAGCTCTATGAGGAAATAGACAAGCTAAAAAAATTATTTTGGGATGAATTTAAAAGTGTTGCCAACCATAACTCTGCACTAGAAGAGGTACCCAACACAAAAGCATTCAAAGTTCTTTTGCTAAAAAGCTGTTTATTCTCAAAATTTATTTCTTAGTTTGTACTAGTTTTATTTCATCTGCCATTTGGGCTAATATAATATGAGGCCGGATAACAGAGGCCGGTGCCAGGAATCGAATCCCTGTTCTGTCACATATTGGCTGTGTGACCTTAGGTGAGTTACTTAGCCTTCCTGTGCCTCAGTTTCTTTTCTGTAAGATAGGCTGCTGAAAGGGCTACATTAGCACATAGACCGCACTTAACATTGTCTGGTATGTAGTAAGAAATTCCCAGACATTATCTTTATTTTTGCAAAGGGCTTTCTTTCATCACTGGACAAGAGATGAGGCAGAATTTAAATGAATGCACTTTTCTCCCAGCAAGTTGTGAGTTGAGTGCTGCCTACCTTCCAGGCACTCTGTTGGGGTCTGTGGAGATCACACATAATAGTAAGATTTACTGACTGTAGTTACTGGTTTCCAACCCCTGTGTGGGTCATTTTATATATATACATTAACTTTTAATCCTCACAACAACAAAACAACCATAACATTCTCAAAGTAGGTACATTATCCGTTTACTTACTTCTTTTTTAAAGTTCCTTAAAAGAAAGCTATTATCATTCCTCCTTTGCAGGAGAAGACATTGAGGCCCCCTGTTATGGGGTCACACAGCTACTAAGAGGTAGACATTGGGATTTGAACTTAACTTTTGAAACTTCAAAGCCTCTTCTCTTCTACTGGGTCTACTGTCAGGTTTATTCAGGAAAACCTTATTATAGGTTATTATCCCTGGACTGTATCTTACCATATAAGCCTGTATGACTGTATGGCTGAAAATGTTCTGAGGAGAAACATGTTCAGAATATATTTAGCTCTAATTATTGGTCCTTCTAACATCAAGGAGAATAATTTTTTTGTTTTTGAAAATGAACTGTTTGATCGCATTTCTCACAATCATTCTACGTTTTGCTAAAGAAACACCTGGACAACTCTTCCAGGAGGAGATCGTTATAGGATATGCCTGGGATCTTGGGTGGTCCATTATCTCAATCTGAGATGGGAAGTCAAGGATGGGGAAGGCTTGGGGTTGAGTTGATGTGTGTGTGTGTGTGTGTGTGTGTGTGTGTGTGGTTATCTCTAGTGACCCAAGTCCTCTCATCCTAAATGTTCCCACATGCGGTAAGGGATGATATGTGGGTGACAAGATGCCACTCTACCCCATGGAGCTCGTGCTCTTACCAGCTCTGTGCTCATCATTCCTGAGCTCGCCCACACCCCTGTTGACTCCCATTCCTCCCCCAACATGGTGTTAGCTGACTAGACATTTGATAGGTATTGGTTTGAATTTGGAGTTATTGTTCAGAAACCACCTCACAGGGTTCCTTCAGTTCAGAAATTCGAAATTTTGGTAAATGAGGACATAATTCTTACCATCCATGGTTTCTTTTTAACTTGGATCACATTTTCCTAAACCAGAATATCACTTTTTTTTGGTTTTTCCTCTATAGGATTGCTTATGCTGTGTTTTTGTGTCCGTATGTCTTCCCCATCTCCTCTCAAGTGACATTTTATTATTATAGGAACCAAACTGGATACACACTTCTCAGTGTATTTGGATAATTATTTTGTTAGTTTTTCTTCTTATTTGGGGGAGAAAAAGATAAGATTTCATTTACCATGGGAATGAATAACACAGTAAGACCGTCTGTCTCATTACACAAGAAAAGATTCCCCTTGGTGTTAGGAGGGCCAATGAAAGGGAAATACTTCTTGAAGATGTTTCTCCTCAAAATTTTCTCTTTGATACCAAGTCCTGTGAGCTTACTTTGGCTAAGTTGCCTGACTGCAGAGAGAACTTGAGAGAAGATGTGGGGTAAATCCAGCTGCCAAAGGAGTCCCTAGTTGAATGGGAATTGCCATGAAGGTTTGTGATGCCGAGAGAGCCTGCTCTCTGGTTGTCTAAACATTGGTGTGAAGACAGTAATGACACATCAGAAGCTGAGGGTTGCACATACACTTGAAAAAGCATTTTACTCTATGATAATACTCAATTAGAAATGGTTAAGATTTTACCTGATATTGCTTTAGCAGTCGAGAAGAGTTGAAGAATGGTAACAAGTTAAACTCAGGGACGTGCAGTTCTTTAAAGCTTTAATGGGGGGCTTGTGAGTTTGGGGTGGTAATAGAGATGGAGATAATTTGCTTTTGTGACTGCAGAAGTGATATGTTTAAAAGTGTAACCACAGGTGGCAAGGCCTGATCTCTTGGATCCCCCTTTCTGTGCCTTTTCCTTCAGATTACACACTGCATGCTCAGGAATCACTAGGTATTGGTGACACCACTCCAAGCCAGGCCAAGCCAGGCCTTGTTGGTGACAGCCAGCATTTTTTGATGGGAAGAGGGACAGGAGAGCTCAGGGAATGGTCCAGAGTGCATGAGACCCTCCTAAAGCCTCTAAGAGTCTGATTCTCTTCAGCCTATTCAAGACTGAGGAGGAAATGGGGGCAGAAATGTCTGGTGAGCTCTGGGCTTTGGGTACAGTCGAATTTCAGTGCAGTTGAAATTCTGCTCTTGAATTCTGTTTGTCCATGGGTGCCTGCTTCTCCTGTGTAAGCATTGAGCTCTCAGGGGAACCTTTGTGGAGGGGAATGCAGACTTGTGTGAGTATATGCAGGCACATAGATGTCCGGTGAAGACAAGCTGGAGTTTGTGGTGGGGTGAGGTGGGCCCTTCTGACCGTATAAAAGACAACATCAAGATTAGCTCTTCATCTGAATAAAACCGGGCCCTGGCTTTTCAGAAACTGCAGGTGCTGCAGTCCCACAGTGTGGTGGAGTCCAATCTCGGGTCACTGCGGGATGAGGAGTCTGAGGAGCGACTCAGGCAGACTCAGGAGCTCCAGGTCCTGAGGGAGAAGATGGACGTTCAGGTGAGCTGAGGGCTCTTTCCTTTTTCCCTACAGCCAGCCATATTGCTATCAACAAAGTCTCTCAGTTTTGCTCTTGGCTTTATGGAAGTTGGAAGGCATTAGGTTTTTGTTTCTGTTTTTTTTTTAACCTTTAAAATTTTTTTAATTCATGCACAGCAAGAAAATTTTACATTTTACTATTGCACATATGTGCACATATGCAGATAGACCTATGTTGATGTGTTCATGTATGTACAAATAAAATGGAAATATATTTTTAACAAAACAATATTTATCTTCTCTATGCATTATGCAGTTTGATATTTTCTATTTTATTATTATTATTATTATTTTATTATGTTCAGTTAGCCACCACTATACAGTACATATATAGTGTGTACTATATAGTACATCATTAGTTTTTGATGCATTGTTCAGTGATTCATTAGTGGCTATAACACCCAGTGCTCGTCATAGCACATGCCCTCCTTAATACCCATCACCCAGTTACCCCACTCCCTCCTCCCCTCTGAAACCCTTGGGTTGTTTCCTGGGGTCCATAGTCTCTCATGGTTCATCTCCCTCTCTGATTTCTCCCCCTTTGGATTTCCTTCCTTTCCCCTATGGTCCTCTGTGCTATTGCTTATGTTCCATATATGAGTGAAGCCATGTGATAATTGTCTTTCTCTGCTTGACTTACTTCACTTAACATAATCCCCTCCAGTTCCATCCATGTTGATCCATGTTGATGGGTATTCATCCTTTCTGATGGCTGAGTAGTATTCCATTGTGTATATGGATTACATCTTCTTTATCCATTTGTCTGTTGAAGGGCATCCCAGCTCCTTCCACAGTTTGGCTATTGTGGACATTGCTCCTGTAAACACTGGGGTGCATATGCCCCCTTTTTTCACTACATCTATATATTTGGGGTAAATATCCCGTAGTGCAATTGCTTGGTCATAGGGTAGCTCCATTTTCAACCTTTTGAGGAACCTCCATGCTGTTTTCCAGAGTGGCTGCACCAGCTTGCATTCCTACCAACAGTGTAGGAGGGTTCCCCTTTCTCCACATCCTTGCCAACAGTTGTTTCCTGTCTTGTTAATTTTTGCCATTCTGACTGGTGTAAGGTGGTATCTCATTGTGGTTTTGATTCATATTTCCCTGATGGCTAATGATGTTGAGCATTTTTTCATGTGGAAGACATCAGGTTTTACCTTTGCAGACCTTCTGCCGATGCATGAAAGCATGGGATCAGATTCTTAGGGTTCTCAGGTGAGGCTGGTATATACATGGGAGCAATATCAGGTTTGCTTGGCATCTTTTCAAAATACATACAGTTATGTCCCTTACTGGGTACCTTCACCCTCATTTTGGTTCCAACCCAGTTGAAAACAACTCTAAGGAAGTGTGATAGTCTCCTGTTTTGAAGGCGTTTCCGGTGGGTCTTGTGGGTGATGGTAAATATCCAACAACCACTCTCTGGACCGAAAAAAGCTTTAATTTGTAGCAGTTGCCATTGTCCATGGTGTAAGTTTTCCCACCCAGGCCGATTTCATGCTGCCGCCGAGAGGCCCCTGGGTGTGGAGTTGGAGAGGCTGGCACCCAGTCTGCTTTCCTGAGGCTGCAGGAGGTGGCTCCGGCCACCACTGGAGGGATCTTACAACAGTCCAGCTACATTTGGTCTGCATCACTGATCGCTCCAGGACAAGGAAGGACCTGATCACTCTATCAGATCGTGCTTCTGTTTCCGCTTGCTAAGATTGTTGGGAAAGAGCTTAAAGTCTAACTGAGATCGGTAAAGTGTTTTTACTGCTTGGTGTTTTACAGGTTTCACTTTAAGAAATGACCTTTGTTCTCATCATTTGCCTCTTTTTCTATGGATTTCCTTACCAATTTGAGAGTTTCTATGATATGGAACTTAACCCAAACTTTTCTTGTTCTTGTGGTTATTTAATTTTTCAAAAAGATTTTATTTACATTTTTGTCAGAGAGAGAGAGTGCACAAGCAGGGAGAGCAGCAGGCAGAGGGAGAAGCAGGCTCCCTGCTGAGCTGGGAGCCCAATGCTGGACTCAATCCCTGGACCTTGGGATCATGACCTGAGCCAAAGGCAGATGCTTAAGTGACTGAGTCACCCAGGCGTCCTGTTCTTGTGGTTGTTTCCCCCACAATATTGTGCCTCCAGTTTTGTTGACCATATGAAATTAATAATGTTTATGTGGTCAAAATGATCAAATTATCAATCTTTTGTATATGGCCACTCTGAGGTTTAAAAAGAAAATGTTTCTTTGTTTCCTTTTAGTGCCTTTAAGGCCTTATTTATTTATTTATTCCTTCATTCATACATCCCTCTTTATTAAGGTATGATTGGCATGTAAGAAGTTGTGCATATTTGGTGTACATGACTCAGTGAGTTTGGGAATAACTATTTACCTTTGAAACCATCACCACATGAGGGCACAGTCATATCTATCACCTCCCAAAGTTTCTTCCCACCCTCTTTATTATTATTATTATTTTCTTTGTGTGTGTGGTGATAACACAAATTAAGATCTACCTTCTGAGCTAATTTTAAATATACAACATATCTTGTAGAACAAACCTTGTACCCTTTGACCATAACCTTCCCACTTTCTCCCCATCTTAACCCCTGGCAACCACCATTCTCTCTCTGTTTCTATGAGTTTTAGATTCCACAAGTAAGTGAGATCATACAGTGTTTGTCTTTCTTGTCTGGTTTATTTCACATAGTGTTATGTCCTCTAGGTTCATTCATGTTGATGCAGGATTTCCTTCTTTTTTAAGACTGAATAGTATTCCAGTGTATGTATGTACCATGTTTGCTTTATCTATTCATCTATCAGTGGATTATTAGGTTTCCCTGTTTTGGCTATTGTGAATAATGCTGCAATGGACATGGGAGGGTATCTCTTTGAGATCCTGATTTCAGTTTTTTTAGATCAATATCAAGAAGTGGGGTTGTTGGATTACATGTTAGTTCTGTTTTTAATTTTTAAAAATTATTTATTTATTTATTTATTTGAGAAAGAGAGAGAGGGCATTTGCAAGAGAGGGGAGGTGCAGGGGAAGAGGTACAAACAGACTCTACTCAGAGCACAGAGCCCATTGTGGGGCTCATCTCATGACCCTGAGCTGAAATCAAGTCAGATGCTTAACTGACTGAGCCACTGAGGCACCCTTAAATTTTTTTTTTTTTAATAACAGAAAAACAAACAAGTTTATTAACAAATACATCTCATGTCTACCTGGGAGATATCCAGGGGAAATGAGTAAGTCTGTTTTTAATTTTTGAGGTACTTCCACTCTGTTTTTCATAATAACTACAATAATTTACATTCCCTCCAGCAGTATTTGAGGATCCTCTTTTCTTCACATCCTCACCAACACTTGTTTTATCTATCTATCTATCTATCTATCTATATCTATTTTAATAATAGCCATCTTGACAGGTGTAAGGTGTGGTATATCTCATTGTGGTTTGATTTACATTTTTGTGCTCACTAATGACTAATGTTGTAGGACTTCTTTGGGGAAATGTCTATTTAGACTCTTTGTCTATTAATTTTTTTTTCTTTTTGTACTGAGGTGTAGACGTTCCTTATATTTTGGATGTGAGCCCCCTATCAGATATGTGGTTTGCAAAATATTTTTTCACATTCCATAGGTGGTTCTCCTTTTGGGTAGAATGTTTTGTATATGTCTGTCTTGCCCATTTGGTCTATAGTGACGTTCAAGTCTAGTGTTCCCTTTTGGTTTTCTGCATGGATGATCTCTCCGTTGTTGAAAGTGGGCCAATGAAGCCCCATACTCTTACTGTATTGCTCTTTCTCCCCTCAGTTGTATTAATATTTGCTTTATATATTTAGGTGCTCTGATTTTGGATGCTTCTATATTTATAATTGTTATATTGATGAATTAGCCACTTTATCATTATATAGTGACTTGTCTCTTCTAACAGTTTTTTACTTAAAGCCTTTGACAGAATTATAGCTACCCCATTCTTCTGGTTGTGGTTTGCATGAAATATCTTTTCCCATCCCTTCAGTTTCAGCCTGTGTGTGTCCTTGAGATGAATCTCTTGTAGGCAGCCTATAGCTGGATCTCGTTTTTCTAATCCATTCAGTCACTCTGTGTCTTTTGATTGGAGAACTTGGTCCATTTAAATTTAAAGTAGTTAATGGTGAGTAAGGAATTACTATTGCCATTTTGTTAATTGTTTTCAGACTGTGTTGTAGTTACTTTGTTCCTTTCCTCCTCTCTTGCTGCCTTCCATTTTGATGTGATGGTTTTATTTTGTAATGGTATGTGTTGATTCCTTCACCTTTTGCATATCTGCTATAGGTTTTTTGTGGTTAGTGTGAGATTTACATAAACCATCTTATAGTACAGCAGTCTATTTTAAGCTGATAATAACTTAATATTGGTTGCATGCAAATACTTCTTGTCTTACACCTCCTGGTGTCTACAAATCAGCCAGTCGGATCTGTGGATGGTTGTTGAGATCCCCATGCCGGGCACCACAGGCTGATTTGGCTCTGCCCTGTTCCCCGGTTCTGAGGGCGGGGGAGAGAAGTGGGCCTCCTGGGCAGCACCCCGTGAGGCTGGGGCGGTGGGTGCTCACTTGCTCTCACTTTCCTTCATGGGAAAAATTGCAGGCTATGGGGGTGTCTCTCTAGGCATCAAGCTGTGTCTCCTTGGGGAGAGCTGAGGCAGGTAAAGTGAAACTTCTCTGGAGTGCATCTATTCCCAGGGTTTTTTTTTGTTGTTGTTGTTTGTTGTTTTTGTTTTTGTTTTTCCTCCTTTGAAGTGCCAGAAACTCTCAGCTGGGTTCCTGGGCTCCCACAGAGGAATCCGCACCTGTGGGTGGTTTGAGAGCTGGAATTTCTTATGGTACTGTTTTACTGATATCACTTCCAATTTTTAAGTTTAAATCTTTGACCCACCTAAAATTTATTTTGGTTTAAGATATGAAATAAAGATTCAAGTTCATATATTTTTTTCCAGGCAGTTAACCACCTTTTTGAACTCCATTTGTCAATAATCTATTTCCCCCAGACTAAGATTCTATCCCCCACCACCCCCTAGTCTTTGTCTGGGATTTCTCTTCTTTTTACTACTTTGCCTAATCATGAGCCAGCACTTTTTAATTCCTGTAGCTTTGTAGTACATTCTGATATCCAGAGTCCTGTTTATCTTTTTCAGAAGGCAGAATGGAAGAGAAAAATGAAGGAACTTCAGGGAAAGCATGCGGCTCAGAAGCAAGAGGTAACTCTGGGTGGTCTGGGGTAGCTGGGTTTCCTGAGACCTCCTCTTACCCTATGGCACCCCCATCCTCTATCACTAGCCTCCTCAAACTGACCAGTATTTGGTTGCTGATGGTGTTCCTGGTGGCTGACCCTAATCAATCCCCAGAAGGGGTCAGCCGCCCAAACAGCAGCCTTCCTGGCCAGGAGTCAGGGCCTCTGGGATTTGTCTTCTGAACCCAACACCTGCTTTACTCTGTGGTCCCCTATGCAGGGACCCCTTCAGGCCATCCACAGAGAGCAGGCCTGGAAACCTTAGATGCATTATCTGGTCATTTCATGTTTGGGTTCTTCCTTGAAACCCCACCCAGGAGAGAACCTAAGCCATCATTCAAGGGGAGCCCACATGGAAAGGCTCAAATACTGAGATCGGGGAATAGGGAGCAGCAGGCCTCAGGATGAGAAAACAGCTTCTATGAAAATGCCCCTGAGGAGGAAGCAAGTTGAGGAGGAAGCTGGTTATCAGAAGCTCCAGGTACTGCCTACAGAAAGCCCAGAAGAGGCAGGTGCTCAGATCAGAGGCTGGCACTCCCATTTCCAATAATTCCCATCTGATGGGTTTTTTAAAAAAGATTTTATTTATCTATTTAACAGAGAGATCACAAGTAGGCAGAGAGGCAGGCAGAGAGAAATGAAGAGAAGCAGACTCCCTGCTGAGCAGAGAGTCCAATGCGGGGCTTGATCCCAGGACCCTGGGATCATGACCTGAGCTGAAGACGGAGGCTTTAACCCACTGAGCCACCCAGGAGCCCTGACCATCTGATGGTTTTATTTTATTTGAAACATCTTCAGATGGGAAATACAGTTTAATTTATTCCAAAAGTGGAAGAAACATATGAAGGCACACTCAATACAATGTACTGAAATACATGGAGGTTCACTTCCACCCCAACTCCGTCTTCCGGCCCCCAGCACCCACCCCGTGGCTGTCTGTCCACTTGTACTGCTTTCTTGGGTATTTTTCTAGAGTTTCTTTATGCAAATAGAAACAGTCTCATCTTCTCTCTACTCTTAAAATAGCACGGGATGGTATTTTCTTCACCTTCGGTTTTTCCCTAAAAACACCATTGGATGACTCATGAATGGCCTCAGGTTACCTGACTGTCCTTCCGTGGGTGGTCATGCTGGACAGAAAGCCTGTTCGCCCTGATTGTAGGGGCCTGCATCCAATTCTCACTTCCCCTCAAGCACAGCTTGGAAATATGCCCAAACTGGATAGTAGTCCATCCTGTTAGAAGCCACCTGCCCAGGTCTGGAAGCCCCCACCCCACTTCAGATGAAACTGCGGCCAGCGTGTGCCTACAAGAGCAGGCCCTGCAGCTCCCGGGCACTCCGAGGTCGCTGCGACACCTGACTGACCAAGTCCCCTGTGCCCACCAGCTGCAGGAGCAGAACGAGATGCTCCGGGCCTCCCTGTCTCAGGATCAGAGGAAAGCAGCTGCCCGGTCCCAGCGCCAGATCAGTGCTCTCCGCGCCCAGCTCCAGGAACAAGCCAGGCTCATTGCCTCCCAGGAGGAGATGGTAGGTCTGTCCCTCCTCCTTGCCAGACCCTGAGGCCCCTAGGCCTCTTCTCTGTGAGGATCTCCTTTGATTCTCCAGACTCACTGGCAGTGGTCTCATTAGCGAGGCTCTCTCAGCAGAGAGAAGAATGAGGAAGCTGCGGCTATCTCTTTCCAGGCTGAAGATAGCCCTGTTGTCCGGAGGGGCTGAGCTAAGTTCACACTAACACCAGACACTGTCTAAGGGCTGGCACCTGCTTGATACTTGGTGTATTACTTCATTTAAACCTCACTGCTGCCCTTCAAGGCAGACATTGGCTTCCCCCCATCTTCCTTTGACAGATGATGGAACAGGCTGGAGAAGCAGGTACCTCCCTCAAGTCCACAGAGCACACCCTATAAGAGCCAGTGGGGGGATTCAGCCCTGGCCAGGCAGTGCACTGCAAAACTTGGGCTCTTTTCATTGCGTTCTCAGACATCATTTCCTGGTCAAAACACTTGTTCTAAATTAATGGCCGCTGAAGATGTTGTCAGACAAATTAGTATGGTGAGAAGTCATCTGCTCACGTAGCACCTCTCTCCTAGAGCTGACCCCTTGACATACTGCTGCTAACTCTCTGCCTAGTCTGGGCTCAGCTCCCACTTCTGAGCTGCAGGTCAGGGGACAGGTGTCTCTGCCATCAGAGGGGTCCCTCTGTGGCCTCAGAGCCTTGCTTCTGAAACCCCCTCCACACAGATTCTCTGAGCAGAGCGCCTCCTGTCACTATCGAGTTCAGTCTTCTTGTTCCCGCTCCCTGGTTTTTGTGTTTTCAGTTCTACCCAGTCACTCGGGTAATGGATCGGACCCTCTCTTCTGCTTTTCGTTTTACTGGGCCTCCCCCCACATAGCTCTTTCCTGCTCTGGCCACCTCAGGTCCAGTCTGGAGATTTCTTCCTTCTGTTACGCGGGACTCCTGTTTGCAGATATTTCACTAGGGAGCCCATTGGCTAAACCTGGATTTAGAATAGGTTAGTAGGGGTTTATTTGTATTGTAACGTCAAAAGAGGAGACAGTTGATGGCCTCGGTTTAGCAGCAAAATTATGTCATTGAAAATCCAAACTCAGTTTTTCTTTTTTACCATCTTCTGTGGGTTGACTTTTGTTTTCATGTTTGACCCTTATAATTGCAAGATGGCTTCCATAGCCCCAACCATCACAACTATATTCAGTAGAAGAAGTTGATGAAAAGGCCCCTTTCTCAGACTTTTGCTTATATTTTATTGGTCAGAGCTGTGTTACATGGGCAACCATAGCTGCAAGAAAGGTTAGAAGGCAAATAATTAGTTTTAGAGTCTCTAGAATAGAGGTAGGCAAAGGAAGAAGTAGTTGGAAATTGGCATTGGATGTGTCATTCATCAGTAGATAATAAAAAACAACTGAAGCTTAAGCAGAAGAGGAAATTTGTCTTAAGGGTAGACAGGATGTCTCAGAGAGTTCAAGGCAGGAGAGCAGCTGAGTCTGGGATTAACTAGAATGAGAGACATAAATGTGGTCAGGAGTGTTCCTTTGCTGTGTGTCTCTGTCCTTTTCTCTAGATTTGCTTAAACTTGTTCCTTTTATTCTGAAGATCAGCTTTCACGTCATACCAATCCCATATGGCAATACAAACAAACAAACAACAAACAAGCAAACCCAAAACCAGTTGGCTGCCACTGGCTCTTGACTTCACATGTTTCCAATGCAGAGTTCTCTGCCCCAACCTAGACACTTGGCTATGGTTGTGGTGTGGGGCCACGTCACAGGTGGCTGTTCCATGTGCAACTGTGTGGAAGGAGGATGAAGAGGCACCTTCTGGAAAAGGGAGGGCTCAGCAGTTTAATGATTGTCCAGCTCATGCCTCCTTCTGCCCAGGGGCCCCTCCGCTCATGTCCCCATGGTGGGGAGAGCCCGCCTCACCCTGGTTGTCCACCAGGTGTACCAGCATATTGCTGTATGCCTGTCCCACTCCACTCATGTGGGGCTCCTGCCCTTCAAATCACAGTCCCTCTCTGAAGAGGGGCATTCTTGCCTCCCCATAATGGATGCTGCTGTTCAACCTTGGTGCCATCACCCCCCCTTACATATGGATGGCAGGAGGTGTACTGGGGGGTTGGGGCAGCGTTCTCCGAGCTCCTTCTAGTTCCCAGTGGGGGATATGGAAACTGACTATCCCTTCTTTATGGTGCTGGGCAGGCCTACTGTACAGAGCAGGGTTCCCGGCTGCCTGTTCTGTTATGTATCTTTGCAGATCCAGACCATGTCTCTCAGGAAGGAGGAGGGTAAGTTCTCATGGGGTGTTTTCTAATAGTCTTGGCCTCTTCTCTCTCCTGTCCCCCACCAGTCAGTTTATAGAATGAGGGGGTGGCAGTGAGAGCAGCTCCTGGGTCATGGGGTGTCAGGCTCGCTGGCTGGGTGAGGGAGGGCAGGGCAAGAAGAGATCTGCTTCTGGGACAGACAGATGGATTCTGGCCTGGCCTGTTCTTCTCTGTGGGGTGGTGGAGACCCGGGGAATGGTGAAGATCCTGCGGGCAATGATTGATGGAGCTTTTCACGAAAAGATTCTAATTCCTCATGCCTAGGGTTCGAGCAATCAACTTTGACCTTCCTCTCAGGGTGTAGCAAGTTGAATATGAATGTGGCCTGTCTAGAGTATGTGTAGTCTTCCTCTGGGTACCCTGGTGTGCTGCTGTGTGCTTCTTGTGTGTGTGAGTGTCTCATGGATGCACGTGCTGGCGTCTAAAGGGAGCCAGTAACACACAGGAGACCGCCCCTGCATGGAGGACCTTGGCCAGGCCCTTATGAAACCTGGCCCGTTGGACTCCCACTTCTTCTGTCCTGTCTCTTTAGCCACCTTTCTGCCTTTTCTTGCAAACCCACATGCCTGTCCCTAATTCCTGCCTCTAAGTCAGATGTTCCTTCCCCAGCTTGGCCAGCAGGTCAGAGAAGCAGCCTCCCTGTGGCCTTGAACGTCCTGAGGGCTGGGGCTGGGATGTGTGCCATGCGCGTCGCCAAGCACTTTAGATTCATTGTCTCATTACATTGTCCCCACTTCTTAATGTGGGCCCAGCATTATCGGCCTCATTTTTTAGATGAGGAGACTGGGGCTTGCTGAGGTTCTGGGATAGCCGACCCCCCACCACCCCGCCCCGGGGTTGTGAAGGACCAGCAATGGGCAAGCTGGGCTGGGAACTCTGGTCTTTCTGGCTCGCGCTGTCTGTGCTCGTGACTGCAACTCCATCCATCCTGCCTCTCCTGGTGAAGAAATGACTGGAAGGCTTGCTCTTTCTGGCTGGCAGTCATGTGGTGTTCTGCGCTTTCCTCCAAGTCAGGGATGGTATCCGGGGCATCGGGGCCACTAACTGTTGGGCTCTCCTCAGGGACCTGTGAGGGCCTGAAGGATGTGGTCACAGAAGAAGACTCTTCTGAGGAAGGTGAGGCCTGACTCTCTTTCCCCGGTGTCTAATGCAGGATTCGTCCTGCATTAGATTTGTCCTCCTTGTCTAGTTTGTCTCTCCCTCACTGTGTCTGGCTACCGGAAGCCCGGGGAAGGGAAGTAGAAATATGAGACGAGTACTTTAAGCACCTTGTGTGTGCCAGGCAGGTTACACACAGGCCTTAATGTGCGATCTGATGGCTCACTGATGGGGAAGCCCAGAGAGGGCCAGTGACGGCCTGGAGTCACAGAGCCGGCAGGTGGGCGGAGGCGGGATTTGGAATCTGCCTGGGCTCCCTCTCCACAGTCCTGGGCACCTTTTGTTTTCATTCAGTCCATTCGGTGGTGAGTCTGGTATGCAGAGAGAGCTCAACCAGATGATTCAGGGGATGCAAATAAGAAGTGGAAAAAAAATAGCAGTGTTCCTCTGACTGTGGGAGCTCCTGTGGGAGTTGGGGAGAAGAGCTCCCAGGAGAGATCAGGGAGTGCACGCAGCTGACCTGCTGACCAGGGCCTGCCCTTTGGAGCTGGGCTCTGATATGACAAAAGTGACCCAACCAGTGCACCCAGGAAAGGGTTTTATTTGTGTCACCAAAGAGTTCACCATGGGAATTTTGTTTTTTAATGTAATATTTCTTCCTTTACTTCTGAAACAGTAATCTATGCTCTTGGAAAAAAAAAAAAACAAGCAAGCAAGTGAGCAAGTGAGCAAAAGGGTGTGTGTACAGTGAGAAGTAGGTCTCCCTCCTGCCGGGCTATCCAGTTTCCACCCAGAGATCACACTGCTATGCTTTCTCATTTATCTTTCCAGAGATATTTGGTGCAGATATAAGCACATATGTGTATGCATTTTTTTCCTTTTTCCCAGATGGGATCATACTATACATACTGCTCTGTATTTGGTTATTTTCTCAAAAACTTATTGGGAAATCATTTCCTGTCCCTTTATGTACAGTTGCTTCATTATTTTTGCAGGGCTTTACAGTATTCTGTTGGATGGATGAACCAAAATTTAATGATCTATTTATTTAAGGATTTTATTTATTTATTTGACAGACAGAGATCACAAGTAGGCAGAGAGGCAGGCAGAGAGAGAGAGAGAGAGAGGAGGAAGCAGGCTCCCCACTGAGCAGAGAGCCCGATGTGGGGCTCAATCCCAGGACCCTGAGATCACGTCCTGAGCCAAAGACAGAGGCTTTAACCCACTGAGCCACCCAGGTGCCCCACCAAAATTTATTTAATTAGTCCTCTACTACTCCCCACCCCCATCCCGTGCACTTAACCTTGGAATTTAGAAGTACAAATTAGAGATACATGTAACTTTGTTGGGGGAAGCTCTCTGCTGAGTAACACTGTTAACACATTACTGGACCTGCTGAGGTCCATAGAGGGGAGGAACCAAATCCTTCCGCAGAGGCTGCCGAGATCGTGGAGAGCGGGGCTGAGGAGGGTGCTTTGGCTGACCCCTACCCATCCCACTTGTCACACGAAGCTGGTGTCTCCCACACTGATACACTGTGCTGGACCTCTTCGTATGCTGGCCTGCCTCTTCTAGTCCCGGATCAGCAGGAGAAATACCACTTGGGAACTTGTTAGAAAGGAAAGTTGTCAGATTCTCAGCCTTATCCCACATAAGCAGAGTCAGAAATTCTGGGTTGGGGTCCAGCAGCCCATGTTTGCAATCTCTGGGCGTCCTGATGCTTGTTGGAGACCCACTGTCACACCAGTGGCTGTCCGCAGCTGACTGCACATTAAGAATCACCCAGGTCACTTGCAACTCTCCGAGGACCCCACCAGCCACCCCCCCGACCTTAAACAGAACATATAGGAGGTGGGTTCCAGGCATTGGTAGTATTTAAAGCTCCTGGTGATTCCGATGTGCAGCCACGGTTGGGGCTTATGCCCCAGCGTGGACTTGATGGAGGAGGACCAACCTTGTGGGGGGCAGCTTGCTAAAACACAGGTTGCTGGGTTCCCAATCCATAATTTTTGACTCCGTAGGGTTGGAGTGAGATCTGAAAATCCGCATTTCTAATAAGTTACCTGGTGGTGCCATCACTCATGCTCACATTTCAGGAACCATTGCTCTAGAACACTTGGTTCTCAGGCTTGGGTGTTAGAAGATCTGAGGTCTAGGGTCCAGCTTCAGAGATTGTGATGTCATTAGTTTGGGATGGGGCCCAGGAGATTCAAATGTGTGGCCACAGTTGACATGACCATTCTTGAATGTGAGCCCCTTGAGGGTCTTCTTCTGTGCCCCCCAGCACCCCAGTACAGGCCTGTTCATTCTCCATATTACTTGTCAGAAAATGTCTACTGAGTGAATCTAAGGTCTGGTCCTGCTGTAAGGGCAGTGTGCCCACCCTCCCTCCCTCTGCCCACCCTACACTAGACCCGACTCCTTGGAAGGCCTCTTTGCAGCAATGACCACATTTTATTGTAATGGCTTATTTTATTATCCTCTGGGTCCATATTTCTCACAGTATGGTCTGTGGCTCAACTCCACCATAATCATTTAGACAAGTTAAAGTGCAGTTTCCAGGGTCCTTTCCTGGACTTATGGAATCAGACTCTCTGGAGGGTGGGGCCAGGGAATATGGATTTTTAACTCCTGTGGTCCTTCTGTGTACTGCTTTGGAGGGCGAGTCCCTGATCTCTAGAGACAGTAAACTTGAAGGGAGTTTATGGTGTCTGTCCCGTGAGAATTCAATCCCCTGGATGGGAGCAGAACGTGATACAGCAGTAGGTGAGAGTGTCATTTGGGGCCAGGATCACAGGGCTGGCAGCCGGCAGGGCCTGGAATCTGTGGTTTACAAATGCCAACATACAGAAACAGCCTAAGTGTTCATTGATGGATAAATAGATAATGAGGTTGAGGTAGATATATATAATGGAATATTATTTAGCCATAAAATGGGGGAAAGCCTGCCATTTGTGACAATATGGATGGACTTTGAGGGCATTATGTGAAATGAAATAAGTCAGACAGAGAAAGACAAATACTATATCATCTCCTTTATATGTAGAATCAAAACAAACCCAAAACCAAACTCGTAGAAGAAAAGATCATAATTTGTGGTTACCAGAGGTGGTGGGTAGGGGAAGGGGATTGGAGGAAGGTGGTCAAAAGGTACAAGCTGCCCGTGAGAGCAGAAACGAGTGCCAGGGAGGTCATGGACAGGAGGACCAGAGTTACCACTGCTGGAAGACATACAGGAAAGCTGCTAAGAGAGTAGATCCCAAGAGGTTTCATCATAAGGGGAAACTTGTTTCATTTTTTCTTTTGTATCTGTATGAGAGGGTGGGTGTTAACCAAGCTTACTGTGATAATCTCAGAATAAAGTCAAGTCACTGTGCTATACACCTTAAAAGTATAAGCTGCTCTGTGTCAGTTATGTCTCAAGAAAACTGGGTTGGGGGGAGGAACGGAGCTCGGCAACAAGCTGCTTCTAGGGCTCAAGAGCAAGTCAAAAGCCCACAAATCCCAGATTCACCTGGGCAGCACTGAGCCCAGATCCTGGCAGCCCGGACGGGCAGGGGAGGAGAATCCTGCAGGCAGGTAGGTGGTCTGAAGCAGTGGGAGCCAGCAGCAGAAACATCCCCGGGCGTCTGGGATGGACACTCAGGTGGGGTCCGTGGCTCTGGGCTCGCTGGCCAGAGACATGGGTCATGGGCTGGTGAGGGCCACGCAGGTGCTATGTGACTTTGAGAGTGGAGGTTTTGGGTGCCCAGGCTGACCTTGGTGGATTGTTGTGTGCTGCAGATCTGGAGGACTCCCGAGACGGACAACAGAATGTGCTGGCTGCTCTGAGGCGAAACTCCACCCTGCTGAAGCAGTTCAGGCCAATCTTGGAGGACACCCTGGAAGAGAAACTGGAAAGCATGGGGATAAAGAGAGTAAGTGCGGGGGCCACAGCTGCAAGGGCTGCTGCCTACCATTTGGATACGTAGCATTCTTAACCTGGCAAGTGCTTGATTTCTCTTAGCTGCGTAGGCTTATTCATCTTACTTGTTCCAGCTGGGGAGCCTTTCATATCTGGGAATATAAGCCCACATGGCTTCTCCTTACCTCACGTCAGCAGTATGGTCTCTCTCCTCCATTTCTAGTGGTTGCTGGGGGTGTCACCCTGTGTCCTGACCTCTCTGTGCTCTCCACTCATGGGCTGCTTTCTTCTGTGCCCATTTATTATTTTTATTTTTATTTATTCATTTGAGAGAGAATGAGAGCGAGAGAACACAAGTAGAGGGAGTGGCAGGGAGAGGGAGAAACAGACTCCCCACTGAACAGGGAGTCCTATGCCGGGGTCAATTCTAGACCCTGGGATCATGATCTCAGCCAAAGACAGACGCTTACCCAACTGACCCACCCAGGTGCCTACCATGCATGTTTTGACAAGGCTCCCAGACCCTAAACCACCACGCTTTGTGCAGCATGTGCACCCCCTGCCCACCCTGCTCTGACGCTCACTGTATCCTCTCCCAGAGAACACCCAGCGCTGATCACAGGGACTCCCAGGTCAGCAGCAGGTACGAGAGGCTTTGGGGGAGGTTGAGGGGGCTTCTGTCTTCAAAGAGGAATGTCTGTCTTTTTTAGGATGCAAAGGGAATCTCCATTCAAACTCTCAGACACCTTGAGTCCCTCCTGAGAGCCCAGAGGGAGCAGAAGGCACGGAGGTTTTCTGAATTTCTGAGTCTGAGGGAAAAGCTTGTCAAGGAAGCCACCAGCAGAGTGAAGGAGGGACAGAGGAAGAGGGCATCAGCGTCCCAGCCAGACACCAAGGCTCCAGGTGAGCTGGCAAAAGGGCATCCCTGGGGGCTGTGACTGGGAGGATCCGGGCTGGTTTGCACACAAGGAGGGTGCACTGCCTGTCCCCAGCAGGGCATTACTTTCAAGGGTGAGAGGGGCGTGTCCTCACAGATGACTGAGTCCAAAAGTTCTCTCTTGGGGGAACCAGAATCCAGGAGTGGGCGCGAGTCACCCAGGGAAGTTGGTGGAGAGCCAGAGTTGGGCCTGTGGTCAGCCCTGAGTGTGCTGCCCCACTCAGCACCTTGGCTCTACACTGCTTTACTTGCTTTGATCACAACTTGTACTTTGCTCCAACAGAGAGTAGCCCATTCTGTTTCTGGCTCTGAAGTGGGGCATGTCAGTGCCGGGAGAAGACCCAAGGCCTGAGAGCACTGGGGCTGCAGGTGGAGGCAAATAGGAGTCAGATGGAAATTCTGCTGGGGAGCAGTGGGAGGGCGTGAGAGGCTGGGTGAGTTCTGCCTGCCCACACATCCTCAGAGCTTGACTGTGGTTCCCTGGGCCAGATCACAGTCCCTGATTTGCCCCTGGGGCTTGTGACAAGGACAGGCCCAGTGGTTCTTGGGGAGAATTCAAATGTGTGGGTGAGGACCCTCTAGTCTCTGTCCTCAAGGAACTGAGAAAGCAAGGGAATTTGTGTTCTTAGGTTTGAGAATCCCCCATTTCTGGAGGATTCCCAGATCCACTGGGCTGCTGAAACTGGGGGCTCTAGGGAGGGCTTCAGGGGTTCGAGGCTGTTTGTGCAGGATGATGTTGCAGCTCCTTTCCCTCATATGTGGCCAGAGGGATACCGATTCTCTTATCGCCTCCTGTATAGGCAGACCCAACCTGAACTCTTCATGCTAAGGAATTTTCCAGAGTGTGGACACATTCTCTGGGGATATGTGAGATGATTTTTGTTGGTACAGGGACCAATAATTTTAAAATCTATTGAGGCTGATCTGTGCCAAGGCTTGCTACCTCAGCTGGGAAACCAGCCCAGACTAGGAGGTGTGATGGGGCCAAGCATAGGGGTGGGGTGTGTGGGTGCGTGGGCTGAGAGGAGAGAGGGGCCAGGGAGGCAGGGAAGAGGAATGAAAGCATCTTCTGAGGACAGGCTTCCAAAAGAGGAAAGGTACCTTGTTCCTCCAGGTGCCCCCTCCTGTCTAGCCCTTGCTCCTGTGGTCAGAAAGCCAAGAGTGAGAACCACCCCTTGCCAAGCTCCCCTTCCCAGATCCAGGGGCCCCACCTTCTCCAGGGCATGTCTCGGAGGTGTGAGATGAGTAATGTATTTTTACAGCATTTTGTAGACCTCTCTTTCCAGCTCTACGCCCACATGCTAGTTTTCTAGGTCCCATGAGTGCTATGTGAATGCTCATCTCTGATTTCTGCCTCGATTGCGCCTCTTTTTGTTTTGGGGCAAAGCTGTGGGATGAAGCAAGGCCATGAGTAGCAAGAACCCTGGCTTTGGGGTGGCTGATGACCTGAGTTTGTACTGACCACTTCCTTCCATGGAATTGTGGGCCTTGATTGAGTCCCTGGATCTCCTGCATCCTTGGTAAAGCAGGGAGAACAGCACTGTCCTAAGGGCTCGGGGCTCGGTGGATGCTGTAGGTAGAGGGCTTAGCTTGCTGTCGGTATGCAGTAACTAGCTGTCGTCGTTCCCTTCCCTCAGCCAGTTTTGTCTGCCTTCCCTTCCCTTCAGTCTGCCCCTCCTAGAAGATCCACTTCCGTGTAAATGCGTTCTCGGAGAGCAGTGTATTTCAGACGTTTCCTATCTTGAACTACAGTAAGAAACACATTTATACGGTGACAGTCCACACACGAGAGTTTCATGCAAGAGAACTTACTCTGACTCCCTGCGATGTGCTTCTCTTTCCATTAAAAAAATTGTCGATCCTGGATCCTCACCCTCCTCCTACCCCCAGCCTCAATGGGACTTGATGCAGTTCAAAGGAGGGAGGCGCTGGGTCTGCTGGCCTGCCTTTAGCCCTCCTGCCACCCGCCTGTTTGGGAGGACAGTGGTGGATGTGGGTGGCCCATGTGGTCCTGTGGCGACCTCTGGTGGCAGCAGGGCCTTCCTGCAAGGTTACCTGAACTCTCGCAGCTGCAGCCTGGGTGGGTAGAGAGGGTGGGGCTCCTGGGGAGATCAGGTCCTAGGACTGCAGGGTGAAGCTGCAGGAAAGCTGGGCCCCTCTTCAGACCTCCCGACTCCCGTGGGATTCCTGGAATGATGTCATGACCCTGGAACACAAGCTGCTCTCCTGGTCTCTGGTGGAACTATGGGCCGTCCCCAACCCTGAGTCAAGCCAGCAGCAGGACAGACAGCTGGGAGTGGGGGCAAGGACTTTATTGGCTGTGGCTATTATGGTATAGAGTGACAGAGTGACTTGTCCCATTTCTAGTGGGCCAGAACCTCTCTTTCTGTCTTCTTCAGGCTCGAGGGCCTAGATGGTCATGCCCTGGAACTTATTCCTCTCTGTGTTTCTAGTCAAAAGCCAGCAGAACCCATTGGTCATCAAAGAGGCACAGGCGAAGTCCAGGAACCTGCATGTGGCGTTGCCATCCAAACCAGCAGAGCCTCCCACGACGACTCTTCAGAGCCGCGGCAGCCATGGCCCCGGCCTGGCCCACATGCCCACCCCCACTCCACGGCCCAGAGCACATGGATGCTCTGGCACCCCTGTTTCCCCAGGGCCTGGGCTGAGGTGAGCCCTGGACTCTGCATTCCTACTGGGTCTGTGGCTGCAGCTCCCAGCCTCAGGCAGTCCTTACCAGGGCTTCCCACAGGCTTCTGCAAACAGGTGAGGGGCAGAGACAGAAGTGAACAGGAGGGGCCTCAGGTGGGGTCCCCTCCCAAGCCCCCATGAAGAGACCAGGGTCCTTTGTTCCCAGGCGGGACAAACCTACACTTCCTTCTCTATTTCTTCCTTAAGCCTTCATTGCTGCACCAGGAGGGTTTGGTCCCCATCTTCTAACAGAGCTGCTGGTGTGGCTTCTGTGCTCCAGGGTACCTCCTGACTGTCACCTGGGCCCAAGGAAGGAGCAGGGCTGGCTCAGGGCAAACCAGACATGCTTGCAAGTGGTGAGGTTTGGCTTTTAAAGTGTTTCTGGTCCATATAGGCCTCATTTTTCCCCTCCATGACAGTACTCCCCCATTCAGTTCTGAAGAGGACTCGGAGGAGGGAAATTCGGTGCAGCGGACATCCCTCCAGCCCCCACGAGGTCCCTCCAGGATGGGGTCCCGGCCAGAGGATGACTGGGACTGGTCTGACACCGAGACCTCAGAGGGGAGTGCCCAGCCTCCTAACAAGGGCTCAGGCGGCCTGACTTCCTCAGGTGAGTGGTCTGGGACCACTGGGACAGCCCTTTTCCAGCCTAGATTTCTCTAGTTCTGGAAATACCCTGTGATTTTCTCTGGGTTTTCTGATTTGGCAACTCATTGAAACTTGGGGAGAATGACCCTCCCTCCCATCAGATATTTTCCTGGGATCGCAGAGATATCAGAAGGAAGAATCTGAGAGGTTTATTTTGCCCCTTTTTTTCTTAACTGTTAGAGTTTGGAGGAGCTCACTCGCTCATTCCAAGCCTCCCAGTCCACCGGAATCCGCCAGAACCCGGTGCTGATAGCCACCAAGTGGGATGATAGGGTGGAAAGATTTTGGAAGCAGGAGTCGCGAGTCCTCTGAGACAGTCTGGGCTCTGTCACTTGCGGCCTGCTTGTGTCTGAGTGAGGGGTTTTGGTTCCTTTGCTGTAAAATGAAGTACTGGGACAAGACAATGAGGGGTAAGGAACATGGTGCCTAGACATAGTGGCCCTTAGCAAACAATTCTTTTTTTTTTTTTTTAAGATTGTATTTATTTACTTATCTATTTGAGAGAGTACACCCATGTGAGTGAATGGGGTGGGGGGGGCATGGGAGGGGCAGAGAGAGAGAGAGAGAATCTCAAGCAGACTCCATGCTGAGCACAGAGCCTGACTCAGGGCTTGATCTCATCATCCTGAGATCATGACCTAAGCAAAAATCAAGAGTCGGGTGCTTGGGACACCTAGGTGGCTCAGTCAGTTAAGCGACAGCCTTCGGCTCTGGCCATGATCCCAGGGTCTTGGGATCGAGTCCCACATCAGGCTCCTTTCTCAGTGGGGAGCCTGCTTCTCTCTCTGCCTCTGCCTGCTTATGTGTTCTCTCTCTCTCTCTCTGACAAATAAATAAATCTTAAAAAAAAAAAAAAAAAAAAAGAGTGAGATGCTTAACTGACAGAGCCACCCAGGCACCCCTTAACAAACAATTCTTGAATGAATCAATGAACCAAGGGTTTTTGTAGTCCCAGATATCTGCTCAGGCCCTCAGACATTTGAACCCTACCAGGTGGTGGTTAGCTCTCTGCTTCCTGGTGTTCCTGAGGCCTGGACATCCCACGGGGTTTAGCATGTCACCAGGAGTCTGTTCAGAGTCTATGTCCCTGCTTAGTCCTCTTCCTGCATGGAGTTTGCAGAAAGCCTGTCTGGCCCCTGGCTCCTCTGTGATAATTTACATTTATGATACTTGTCTTCTCAGTGAAGATGTTGAAGTAGGCTGTGTTTGCCTGTTAGTCTTGCTTTTCGTATACCAGCTGGGCAGAGGTCCTGCCATTAAGAGGGAAGAACAGCTTCCTAAGTCTCTGTTCACAGCCATGCCATTAACTGAAGTTATATTTTTAAGATGGGCAAAGCCTCTTTTCACCAGTACACGCTGGCCTGGGCCTTCTCTCTGCCCTTGCCCCTCTTCTTTGTGGCTGCCTTTCCTTCTTCCTTCTGACCCTTCTCCACACTCCCTCTATCCACACCAGAGCCTGGTCATGACTTATAAGGATGAGGCATTCATTCTCTGGAATTTTCCCTCTGGTTGTCTTCCAGGAACACTAGTACAGTCGCTGGTCAAAAACCTTGAGAAACAGCTGGAAGCTCCAGTGAAGAAGCCCTCTGGAGGGGTCAGTCTGTTCTTACTGCCTAACACTGGGCCCCAGAGGGCTGCCGTGCCGGGAAACAAGCCTCAGGTAGGGCATAGGACTCTTGGAGGTTGTCTTGCCATTTCTAATAGAGCCAACTCCAAGTATTGGCCCTGGGATGGGGTGTAGTGTTAGCCTTGGCCCTAGTGGGACATTGCAGGTGACCTCCCTGTCTCTTCTGCCTCTGCACAGGGGGAGGGATGGCCACTTCTTATTTATATTCTTGTTGATGTTAAGAAGCCTTTTGGTTCATTACACAAGGAACTGCTCAACAGATCATTTCTCCTGGTCACTCATGCTCCTATGTCCTGCCTCTGACAGAGCCTGGTTCTGTGCCTGGCTGCTTACAGTAGCTACTGTCTTCTGGCTCGGCTTCATCTCACCATGGGCCCCACCCCCTTCCTTCAGTCAGCTCCGGACCCCAACTCCAGGCTGTGTGTGCAGAGAAGACTTCTCTCTGAGGGCAGGGTGTTGGAGGGGCACATAGTAGTAGGTGACAACGTAGAACAGGAATATCTAGAGATCTTTGTTCAGAATATTCAAGGCCATTCCTTATCATTAAGAATGTCTTGGTGGTCTTCCCTCTCTGAGACTCTAGCTGCCATCAGCCTCTGTGACCATTACCACCAGGACCCCCTCCCCACTGCCTCTAGGCAGGGAACAACTCCCACATGCCCATTACCTGCTTAGGCAGAAACATTCAGAGCTCGTTACTTCACGTTCCTCTCTCACCCTTCTCAGTTGAAAAGCCACCTCTTGGGATGACCAGGAGAGTGGACAGTCACTTTTTGGTCCTCACAAGATCATACACTTACTATATAATGTGTTTGTTTTCTTGTGCAGGCTGTGTGCAGTTTATGAGTAGGAAGTCCAAATGATTAAACAAGTATTTGTCCTTTCTCCTATGTCCCAGAGCAAGTGGAGGCTCTGCTCAGAGCCTGCTGCCCTGGGCCCAGGGTGGTTCTAGCTGCTTGGCCTTACATTCTGGGAAAAAACGCATAGGATGTTCCTATCAAAGGCCAGGAGGGCACTGAAAGTTCTGGAGTGGGGTCCGTGGCCCAGAGGTTGCCTGGGCCCTTGGCCTGCTCAGGATTTTCCATTGGCTACAGCCCAACCGCTTTCCAGGCTAGGGGATCCTAGTGTTCTGGAGCGTCTCTGCTACTCCTTGAGTCAGGGTGTTTACCAGGCCCCAGAGCAGCTGTCCGAGAGGAGGGGAGGTGCACATTAGCCTGGGCTGCATTCAGCTCAGGGACTCAGAAAAGTCAATGCTCTGGGCTTTCAGCTCCATCAATGTGGGGAATTAACAAATCTGGACAAAGTTTAAATTACAAGAGCAACTTGACTTGCCATAAGCCTTTCCAAAGAACTTGCCTTGGTTTGGCCAGTGGGATTTCAGGAGCATTTGAAATCACTCTGACTCCGGGTCTCTGAATCAGGTCTTCTAAGACAGGGAAATGGGAACAAATAGGAGAAGGAGCATCTCCCTCCTGCTCCTTCCAAACCTGCATTTTGCCCCCATGTCTGTCCAGCATTTTCATCCTCCATTGTCAGAATGCATTTTCCTCTCCCCCTTCCCTCCCTGTAGCTTTCTGATGCTGAGAGTGACTTGGAGATTTCTTCCTTGGAAGAGCTCCCCCAGGACCTGGGCCAGAGAGAAAAACCGAAGCCCCTGTCTCGCTCAAAGCCACCTGAGAAGTCTGATGCCAGCCCTTGGAGCCCTGGCCGACCCAGGGTCCCTGGATGGTGATCCTGCCCCAGAGGTGGGCTCCCTGAACAGAAGAGGCTGCTAGCCTCTTGTCTTCACCAGTAACCAAGAGATCTCCTTTGGAAAGAAGCAGAGCAGAAGTTGGATATAATTTCTTCCCTCCCACCTGTCCTGCTCCCGAGCACCAGGGGTGCTTGGTGCCCCTGGGTCCCAAGGCTTGAGAAAGGGTTATAATGGGTTATAAAGGGCTATAATGAGCAGTCTCCTTTCCCACCTCCGTGTTCACTCTGGCCTGAAGGAGCCCCTTGATCTTTATTTGCTGGCATTTTGTGAATATGTGGGAACAGTGTGTAGATGAGTCTTAACCCTGCATGGTGTCTTTGTGGGGACACATGCCTCAGTCAGTCATTCAGTGACTGATCTAAAGTCAGTTACTGAGTGCTTGCTCTGTGCCAGGCCCTTCAGCCTCTCCCTGCTGAATTGGGGTGCTGGCAGAGGTGACTGGGGTAGAATTACAGGGTGCTAAACTAGTGACAGAGCTTAGGGTGCTATGGTAGTAGAGCCCGAGCCAGCCAGTGCTGTAAGGGGCGGTCCTGGAGAGGGTCTCAGAGCTGATGTCTGGCTGTGCTTGTGCAGTGGTAGGAGGGAAGGAAAGCCACCTGGATGGGACCCCATGCTCAAAGGACCACAAATTTAATTTTTGATATTATCTCCAAAATTAAGTTATCTATGCAACCACTGTATTTTTTTTAACGTGAAGAGCTTAATTTATTATATGTGAACATTTAAATAACACAATGGTTACAACTCGTGTGTACTCATTATTTTTGGAGCTTCAGCAGGGTCAGAGTGGGGGTGAAGCGAGTGCACCTTGGTCGTGTCAGGTGAGGTCTGTCGGGATGCGGTTGCCAAGATGGAGTTAGGAGTGCCAGAGGTTGGCTGGGCTGAAGGCGGAGGAAGCAGAAGGGTCAGGGAGAGTCCTCAGAGAGTGGGGGAGGTCCCACCACTGGTAGAGGAGAGGGAGCCCCCAGACTGCCTGGCAGGGCTGACATCTCCGCCAGCCCAGTGGGAGCTGTGGAGCAGGGACCCCTCTTACCACCCCCCACCGCCACTGGGGAGAAAGGGCTGGGCTCTAGTGCCCCCACCCTGTCAACCTACTCCATTCCTCAGAGTCCAACAGCAATTTCTGGCCTTAAGGGAGATAAAGCCTTGTGCCTCCAAGACTCACACGTAGAGGAACCCCAGTACATCTGCCCATTTGTCAGGCAGCAAAGACAATGACTGAGACTTTGAGTATGCAGCAAGGAAAGGGTTTAGTGGAGAGGCAGCCAAATGGGGAGACAGGAGGGCAAGCTTCAGACCTCTCTGCAGGAGGAGAGTAAGGGAAATGTAAAGGCAAACTAAGAGAGGGCTGGGTAAGAAGTTGCAGCTGTACTTACCATTCTGCCGCTGTGATGGGTCCCCTTTGGTCACAGGTTTCAGGAGTAGTGTGATCAGTGCACATCCCCAACACCCAGCCCCAGCCATTAGGAACGAAACTCATGGCTAGTCTTGCTCCATCTCTCTCTCTCCTCACCTGGGGTCTCTTGCCCTCCCCAGCCCTTCATCCAGGCTTCTTTTGACCTCTGGTTTTGACACCTGGGCCAGGACCAGAAGTTCTGGTGGGAGGAACCAGGGGAAACGAGGGAGGAAAGGCACTGCAGAGGACAAAGGGTATCTGGGGTCGGGGGAAGGCTTAGGGGGCCGCAGTACCAGGCTGTTCAGTGAAGCCAGAAGACAGCTTATGAAGGGCATGATGTGGGACTTGGGGCTGGTGCAGCTCTGGCCGGCTGGGGGGTAAATTCCCTTTGTGTTTCTCACACCTTTGAGCAGCTGAGGACCTGTGCAGTGATGGTCGCAGGTGAGTGTGTGAGGAGGAGAAGGGGCAACGAGTGGGAATTGTGGTGGGTTCATCCGCCTCCCAGGATTCTCCCAACAAAGTCCTGGTCTCCTATTAGTGGGGTTTGGGCAAGGGAGGTATGAAAGATGGTGGATCCGCATCCAGGTCTCCTCTGCCCCCACCACATCTGGGTCTCCTGCAACTCTGAGCTGATGTCGGATGGCAGCCCACCCACTTCACACATGCATCCTAGGGTCACTGCTCTTTGGCCAAGGGGTGTCTTTGATGCTGTGGGAGGCTGCGTAGCCTATTTACAGATGTAACCCTGAAGCGTGGGAGAGCTGATGCTACCAGGGTAGCCTGCAGCCCAGGTGGGAGGGGAGTTGGGTAATTGCTCCAGCTTGCCTGTGCGTTGGTGGGACAGTTCTGAGGTTTATCACAGCTTCTCAGAGAGTGCCCAGTGGGAGTGAATCCCAGTTGCCTGCAGCAGTTACTTTTTACTAGCGCTCCTCTTATTGGCCTTTCTCTCCACTGTTGCATTTTTTTCACTCACTTAAGCTTCTTGGGAGCAGCTCTGAAATAAATGAACCTGTTCCCAAATCCTTGCCTCAGGCTTTGCTTTCAGAGGGAACCCAAAGGAAACAGATGTGTGTGCACATGTGTTTGCATGTGAACACACAGACACTAGTGATAATTACTGAGAATGACTCTGTACCTGAGTGTTCACTATGAAGTTATATGTTTCTGAGTATGTTTTTCTATCTACTTTGGAGACTAACATTAGTTTTATATTTCTATGCTGCTTATCCCTCCCCACTTTCAAACCAATTTTAGAATGTGTGGCAAAATTGATAAGAACTTTGGAACATGTGTGTATTAGGGTTTCGAGAGGAACAGAAGCCATAGGATATAGGTGTGGATATAGGTATACAGAGGGAATTTATCATAGGGATTTGCTGATATGGTTATGGAGATGGAGAAATCCCATGGCCATCTGCAGATTGGAGAACAAGGAAGGGTCCTGGTGTCCAAAGGTCCCCAAACCAGAAGCTCCAATGTCTGAGGGCAGGATAAGATAAATGTCCCAGCTCAAGAAGAGAAAGCTATTTCATCCTTCCTCTGCCTTCCTCTGTTCTGGTCCCCAGTGGATTGGATGATACCTACCCACACTGGGGAGGATGGATCTTCTTCATTCAGTCTACTGATTCAAATGCTCATCTCTTCCAGAAACATCCTGAGAGACATATCCACAAAGAATGTTTTACCAGCTATTTGAGCAACCCTTAGCTCAGTCAAATTGACTGAGATTAACCATCTCAGTATGCAGCATAATAAATTACTTAAAAATTATATGAACAATGAGATTGATGTAGAAAAATTGGAAGACACAGACAATCAAAAAAGAAAAAGAAATTTGAGTAACCCCCAAATCAAGGGTCAACATGTTAACATGATTGTTAACATCAAGCTATACATGCTCTGATTAAAAAAACATGTATGTCTCCTTCCTAGGGTTCCATTATATTTATTCTTCCCTAGCTTGACCTCCCTTCTCGAAAACAGAATATGAATGTGCTCACATCAGTACATATGTATCAACATAATTATAGTTAATGGGCCCATAGTATTATGAGGTAAATTCTGCAAAAATTTATTTAACCAGACATTTCCACTTTTGGCCTTTGCTAAATAATGAAGTGATAAATGCATATATACATCTTTGTGCCCTTAATTAAGATTTCCTTAGGATAAATACTTAGAAGTGAGGTTGCTGGACCAACATCATAATGAAAGCCATGTGATGTGCCAGGCACTGGTCCAAGGTGCTCATGAATATTCACCGGCTGAACCTCACAGCAGTCAGGGAGCTGGTGCAACTCTTTACAGTCACTGAACGACTAGTCACTGAGACATAGAGCAGTCCTTGAAAGAAACTTGATTCAAGTCCTGGTGCCAGCAAGTAGTATAACTGGGATCTGCCCTGACTGGCTGGCCCTGGATCCCTGGCTCCAAACCACCTACTTTTGGGGATTTTTGTTATCGATGGCCAAATTCTCTCCAGAAAACCCAAACCAATTTAGCTTAATGTTTGCAGTGTGAGCTCATTTTCTCCTTCCCTGGCCACCAGGGGGTATTGTTTGTCTTTAAATGTTGGGATATGACAATGTGTTGAGTGAAAAATGAAAACTCACTTTTAAAAAATTGACATTTTTTCGTGATCTTCTATTAGGAGTCCCTTTTTCATCGTCATATCAATTATTTCTATTTTTACTTGTACAAATTGCCTGACCATATTCTTAATCTCCCCCCCCCCCGGCCCCGTGTTGATGTGATTAACTTTTCCTTTTTGTTGTATACTACAGAAACTATTTGGGTCGTACTGGGGGTCTCTTTTGAATACTTCTGGGTAGAATGACCCGTTCCTCACAATCCTGAGATCAAGACCTCAGTTAAAATCAAGAGTTGGATGCTTAGCTGACTGAGACGCCCCCGTGCCCAATAAATAGACGTATCTTCTGAGATAACTTCAAAATTGTGTTTAACTTAGAGGCACTTGGCTGGCTCAGTCAGAAGAGCATGCGACTGTTGATCTCAGCATCATGAGTTTGAGCTCATAGAGCTTATTAAAAAAAAGAAAAGTTTAACTTAGACACGTGGGGATGGCATTGATTGGAAGTTAGTAATAAGTGTATGTTTACAACCTGAAACCATCTAAAAATATAAACCCACAATTTAGGGAGTAGAAGATGCTCTGGGCTCGCGGCTGGAACTTGGTAGTAGTATATAACCAAAACGAAGATTAAGACCATTATCAATCGCTTCTTCTGTAGATCTAGTGTAGTAAGACTATTTCAGCTTTGGAAAGTCTAATGTGAAATAACGTAAGTTGTTTTACATACTATAATCAAACTGTACGTTTATAGGGAATTCAAATAAAGCAATCTCTAAAGTCAACAGAACCACAAGTGGAATTCTGTACTGTTTTTCTCTTCACTCTGCCCTCCTTGTCTGCTACCAGTTTCTGAAGGGAGTTACAAATATCCATCAAGTCCTTTCTAGGTTTAGGAGGGAAGGACTGGAAGGAATCATTGTACACCTGCATGGCTTGCGCTCTGTTTCATGCCTGTTACAAATGGCAACCAGCCTGTCTTCCTGCTGGAGATAATGCTGCAGGCTCCACCTTGAGAACAACGGGCAGAAAATGGTGCTGCCAGACACCAACACTTGCTAAGTTCTGTAGGGAGGAGGTTGTGTTGCTGACCCTTGGATCACTTGAACATGCACAGAGCAGACGCTTGCCATCTTATGCTGAGCTGGGCCAGTTCCATGTCCGTTCCTATGCCAGGAGCGCCTTCATACATTGTTCTACCTAATGACAAGACTAGACAGCGGAACTAACTTAAGCAAGGAACCAGAAAGAAAAATATTTCCAAGGGGCACAGGGAGCTTAAAATAAAGGTGTGAAGGTGGCGGGTAGAAGGACCCGAACCAGGGCGAGATAATGATCGGAATTGTCCTGCCACTGTCAATAGCTGGTTGTTACTAGGCTCTTGTAGAAGCTGAAGCTGCATTTCATAGTCCACGGAATGCATCAGAGGACTGGATTCCATGGGTGGTCTCAAGAACAGAGAACCACCTGCTGCTCACTGATTCTGACCACAGCCTACCTTACAGAGGAGACTGGTGAGAACTCAGGCCTGAGAGATGGTCCCTGAGGTCTCTTGCACCCTAAGGCTCAACAGCCTTTTCTCTGCATTGATTTAGCACAGTAGCCATGCAAAGAAAAGTGCTCAGGGTTCCCTGGCCTGAAGCGATATATTGGCTTAAAGCTTCAGTTGTATCAGCCAACTGGTGCCTACCACATGGTGGCACTGTGGGCTACAAAGCCATGGCCACACACAGACTTAACGGTATGGGGACTTCTCTG